TTAGTTTTTCTTTCCTTATCTCGTCTTATCATCGTCTAATTGACAATTATGACATATATCAGCTAAGACAGCCTGAATTATGGGCTGTCAATATTTGTTATGAACACATTTACTTTCTCACTAGACATGAGATATGGTATAGAAAAAGTTTCTTTCCTCGACAAATTAATCAGCTAGACTGTAAATTTATGAGTGAAGAATTTCCAGCAAATTATTATTATTTTTTTTATCGGGGTTCCTGTGGAACTGAGTACATCAGCTATACTACATATCCACTAGTAAAAAAACACAGCGTGAGCACTAGTCAGGCTCCTTGGAGAAGGGAAAACAGAAGAGTGTCTTTAGAATGAAAATGGTACACCTTGTAAATTGAAGATACTAGACCACAGCTGAAGTATTGATTCATTCAATAAATTCAAGGCCATGTTCAGTTAGGTAGTTACCTGGGGTTCCAGTGGGAAGCCGTGACAAGTACGGTGCAGCAGGTTGGCTGTGAGGACAAATGCTCGGCGAAAACATTGGCTAGCGGTTGCGCTATATCGTGAATTGGCAGAAGTTAGAATTCACCGGCCATTGGATCGGTTCCCAGTGGCTTAATGGTATACGAGCTCACCTTGTAACCAGAAGGTCCTGAGTTCGAACCCCAGTGGGTGAGTACTGATGAAGAGTTCCAAACTGGGATGAAACAGCTGTCCAGTACTCCCTGTAGGTTTTTCATTGGTCCTCTAACCAATGTGAGCCCATGATGAAATCCGGTCTCCAATCAGCCAAATCCCTACAAACCAATACTTGAATAGCAATTATATGCATCCAAAAGAGGTGCATTCAACATTTGTCACAGATATAGCACTTATAACCATTCAGTATTCTCAAGGAAATCATAATTATTCAATAATTTAGCTTATCTGAACTTTCTGTTCAGTTTCTCATTTTAGCCCATATTTAGGCTGCATAACTCCATTATATTATCCCAGAAGGAAACAATTTTCAAACTTGATCATCACACTTTCTTATATTGTCAAGAATGTAGAGCCTGAAAAACTAGAGCAAGTAAGTAGTTCAGGTGTATGTTTTCGATTTCACTTGCGTCATCTGAGGTGGTCTGTTTAATTGCCAAGCTGTAACTGTTCATCTTTACAACATCTTCAGCCATAGCTCTAGAATGAAATGAACGTACCTGAATTCTTCATGAATAGTAAACATAATTGTATCTCCTGACAACCGATGACGTGACTGGCTGTTAGCACACATCTCTACTGATCATTTCCACTCAATCGGAAATTCAACATTCATTCCTATCACATGATTTATGTTCCATTAGTTGGTAAATCTGGTCTATGGTAATGTGTCTGTTAATCGGTGATATTCATCTGAGTACCAGGCTTCTAGGAATTCCCTGACTGCATTTTTCACGTTTCCTCTATTCAAATCGTCTACATTCTCTCAATCATCAAATCGGTGTCCGTAATTATCTACATGCATCGATATGAGAGAATACATATCGTGCCTTTGCATAGCTAATTTATGTTCTTGAATAAAGATTTGAAGGAGACGCCCACTTTGGCTGGTGTAGTGTTTATCGCAGTCCATGCAGCTTATTTTGTAAATGGTGTTGACCTAATCTTCTTTTTCTGTTGGATCTTTCAGTCTGAGTAATCACTTCATAGCGATGAACACACAAAATTTTTAACTTGGATGGAACTCAGAGTTATGTCTCACAACATATCTCCTATTCGGTAATCAGACACACGAACATGTAAAGGAAGAACTATTGGGAACACTCATATCATAATTAAATCAAAAATTGGGGTAGGTTATGTTTAAGTTAGATTCGTGATGATTAATAGATATGATTTGAAATTTGCGTCGGTGGCACAGCGGTTAGGACGCTCGCTGACCATTCACATGGTCGCCGACGCACTCCCAATCCACTGTAAGCCAGTTATAGGACTGGTAAAGAGGAAAGGTTGAGCATGAGGCTAGCAACCGCATCTTGCAATAATAAACAATGCTAGAGAAACTTAAAGCCTCTAGCTTGAAGCCTTATGTTCCACTGGGAACGGTTAAGAATAAAAAGAATTATTTGGATTATGCCTACTAATTAAAAAACAGCATATTTGAAAAGATTAAATTCACAAGAGAAAAAGAATTAGACAGTAAAATTCCATGCAACGATGTCCTAATTAATAGAACTAACAAAGGAAGTTTAGAAACACAGGTATACAGAAAGTCAACTTGAATAGATCATATACTCAACTATCACAACAACAACACAATGACTCACAAAATAAACTATGTGCAGACATTATGTGAAGGTGTCCAAGCACGCTGTGGCACTCCCGTGCTGAAGAAAACGGAAGAGACATATCCATTATCTGTCTTCAAAATGAATGAATACCCATACAACTGAGTAAAAAAATGTCAAAACTCAAATACTAATATCAACAATAAATCATCATCAAAGGCCACAAGGAAGTTCATTCTACCACATATAAAGATTGTTGTAAAAATTCCTGACCAACAGCAACAGCGAAAACAAGAGACAATAATCAGCATAGATTGGAGAAATCTGAAAAAAGCAACCTCCTTCACCTGCCGACACACCTACCTACCAGAGAAGCATATTCTCAACTACAGGTGGACGGAACTGATGGGGATATCAAAGCAGCGAGGATCGAGCAAGCAAGACAAGCTTTCACTACTCTCAAGTTTGTGTGGAGGTCAACAGCACTCACCATGAAAAATATGATCCGGATTTCCAACTCCAATGTGAAGTTTGTGCTACCATAGGGATGGATCAGAAACTTGGTGCCGTGCCGAGTCATGAAGAGCACCTCGAACAAACTACAGACCTTCATCAACATCTGTCTTCGCTCAATACTCAAGATCAGATGGCCGACCAGAAAAGATCCTCAACAGGGAGGGATTTCTGGGAGTGAACCAACCCAGCAGCAACCGACTGTGCAGCAAATAAACAGGAAGAAATGTAGGTGAATTGGCCATACTCTGAGAAAACAAACCATCAAGTGACAACACACGACAAGCCATCGCTCGAGTGGGGCACGACTGGGGAACGTCGAGTTGGTCGTCAGTGCAGGGTTGACATGGAGGAGGAGGAAGACGTGATGTGAAGAGGAGATGAAAGCATGCTGGTAGACATGGAGTCAGGTGAAAATGCTGTCAGATAACAGGACGCAATGGAGACGTGCGCCTGAAACATTATGTTCCTCTAGGAACTAAAGGAAACAATAATAATAATATATAAAGAATTTTCCTGAAATAACAGCTAAAATACTAATACCATTCGAAATAAACATAGTACACAAGCCAACACAGTCCCTTCATTCAATGTTGTGCAGACAAGAAGATCCAACAGAAAAAGAAGATGAGATCCACAACATTTACAAAATAAGTTGCATGGACTGCAATAAACACTATGCCGGTCAAACTTTGCGTCTCCTTCAAATCTTTATTGAAGACCATAAATCAACTATGCAAAGGCACGATATGTATTCTCTCATATCGATGCATGTAGATAATTATGGACACCGATTTGATGATTGAAAGAATGTAGACGATTTGAATAGAGGAAACGTGAAAAATGCAGTCAGGGAATTCCTAGAAGCCTGGTACTCAGATGAATATCACCGATTAACAGACACATTACCATAGACCAGATTTACCAACTAATGGAACATAAATCACGTGACAAGAATGAATGTTGAAGTTCCGATTGATTGAAAATGATTGATGAGGATGTGAATTAACAGTCAGTCTTGTTATTGGTTGTCAGGAGATACAACTGTATTTATTATTCATGAACAATTCAAATATGTTGATTTCTTTCTAGAGCTATGGCTGAAGATGTTTTCTAGAAGGACAGTGACAACTCGGCAATTTAACCGACCAGCTGAGAGAACACAACTAAATTAAAATGTGCAGCCTGATTGGTGACCTAATTTCAGAGAAGAAAATCTTTTGCCACTGCGGCCACCTTTTGTTTTTGCCTCATAAACCCATGTATCCTTAATTTAGATCAAAGGCTGACATTTGTTGAGGATCCAATAAAGACCAGAGAGTACAGGACATCTACATTGTTCTTCTTTAGTGACTTTAATTTATATGTATCGGTGATCACCATGTGGACTGAACTTAGGATCTTTACTTCACAAGTCTATTCTACCCCCTGTTGAGCTTTATTCTGAACTGTGTTTATAAAACATATTGAATTCCTGGCCGAATTTATTGCACTATGGTTTCTTTTTTCCAGGATTTTCAAGTAAATTACTAATTAACTGTAAGTTGTTTGACACTCTGCTATCTAATCTGAAGCGAAAATCACTTCTTTAAGAAAAGTTCTTCTTTAAATCATTTGTGAAATGCACAACACTTTGTCGAAAGCCAATTAATAAAGGTGCAAGAGTGCATTTTCTGACCCAAAGACACAATACTGCCTGAAATAAATGAAGACTGCAGGTAATTAATTTTGTCTCACAGGCAGTGGCAGTTAGTACTTAAAATCTCATTGACACAGTTATCTCAAGGATTGGAATACGTTGCCACCCCACAATTAAGCTTTGTCCCAGGTATACTAGAAACTTGTGAATCAGTAGGTCGTAGACATTTTAAATACTCGCGTCAGTTCAAGAAACCATTAAGCAGATTAAGACAAAATGAAGAAGAGAAGTTATGTGCCGTATAATGACGGAGTATTTCGGTAGTCTAGACTTCAAACAAGCCACCTACGAACTTTTTTTTAATAAAGAAGAACACAGAGGATAATGGAGTGCTCTGATTGGTTGTTGATTTTCTGAAGGTTAAACCGTGAGATAAAAAGTTGTCCAATGAGATTATTTCCTGACCACAACGTAAGCTACACCCAGATTTGTGGAATAAGCAGTTCTACTTCCGTAGCCACTGACTTAAAATGTTGTTTTCAATGTTGGCTACTACTACTGATAAATCTTGTCAGTAGCATACATCACAATAGCAGAAGTAGAATGAAATAATGCAATCTGAACACTTTATTCTTCACAAACATATTCGTCCACTACAAGGAAAGAAAAATATATGTATATATATCACTTAAAAAAGACATATTGGTAATTTCTTCTCAGTTGTGGTTACATTTGTGAGTAGTAGTAGTAGTAGGTCTCTATGTTACTATTGTAGTTTCTCTGTGCATTTATTTGCAAATGTTCCATGTGATATGATTTAACAAAGTACACAACACACACACTTTAATTGAACAAAATTACGCAAAATAAAATTTTTAGAGTATGATAATAAGAACACGATTGAAAAATTGACAACAAACATGTATAAAATATATCGATGTAGAGACATTTAAACAGCCAGCAGAAACTATGAAGTGTATGCATCAATCAGTAGTCAGCAATGGTCAATAATGACAAAAATGGGGTGAAATGAATAGCATCTTATTATATATATATATCTGTAATACAACTAGAGGTAGACAATACTTGATTTCGTCTTTCTTATTTTATCAAATAGAAATGTAAGTGATATGGTGATGGATTATGCAGGACTGATTAGTTGATTGATTGACTGAGTGTCAGATTTGCTTCATTCATTATTTCATCACATAAATGTTTAACACTGTACACAATAGTTGATTGAACTTTAATCTTCGCGCAATTGATTCATTTAAACAACAACGACAATAATACATAAAAAAGAGAGAAAAAGCGGTTTCAATCTTTTCAATGTTCACTGGACAGATTACAGTTTAAATCTTGTTGTTGTTGTTGTTTTATTAAGAAAATATACAGCGGATGAAAATAAAATTAGAAGATCGTGCGTATTGTCTTTTTCATTGATTCACTTCTTCTTTGTCTTGTTGTTTAGTTCAAGTAGACAGAACAATGGACATTGAACACATACGAATTCAATTGTGAAGACTTATGCTCAACAATTGTTAATCGTTTTCTCTGTTACTGAATTCAACGAAATGGAGGATTCTGAGTAGTTTTTTGGGATAATCTATTGTTGAGAGAAGAAAAAAAATGAAGTGAATAACGAATCAGGAATAATGAAAAGAAATGGAACGAAAACTAAAAGGCAAGGACACATTAGGTCAATGATTTACCTGCGTTTTCACACTTGGATAATTCACATGATGATATTTAAGAGGGGAAATATTTGTTTCATCAGCAGCAAACTTGTAAGTTTTGCGTCAAAAGATGCATAAAGTCTAGTATGCATGTATATATATATGTATATATCCCCTTTTTGTGACCTAATCTAAAATTTGAAGCTGTGCTTCATGGCGGACGTTTTTTCCTCTCTAACATGAATCTAATTAGATTAGGTTAAGCAATAAACATAGTCCACTGATTCTGAATTCTTTGTTTTTTCAAATGAATATGAAGGAGATGAAATAATCGTTCAGCAAGCAAAGTATTTCTTTTCAACGACTTAATTTTCAAGCTGTGCATTCGTATATGTGCGGTAGGTTAAAGAGGCTATTTAGGGGTTCCTAAAGTTACTCAGTCATGATATTTATAGACGTAGAGTTGAACTTTCAAAAGTTGGTTTGTTTTGTTTCAAATTCCACCGGGGATTGCTATCAGTTGGAGAAGCATTGAAAAAGAAACCTGGAAGTACTGAACAGCTGTTTCGCCCTAGTTTCGGACTCATTGGCGGTACGTATCCACAGAGGCTTGAGCCCAGGACCTACCCGTTACACGTCAGCCTCACAGACTATTCAGCTACTGCTAAGAAATTGCTCTTCAGTATTCCATGGTATCCAGTGGTTCTCTTACTGATATCAATCCGTGGGCAAACTTGAAACAAACTAACTCTTCAAAATAATTCTGATGCCCGCTAGTGATTAGCTACAGGACGAAGTTTCCTGCAGTTCTTGGGAGAAGTCGTGACCAGTGGAGTCCATCAAATTAGAAGTGAGAACAAATACACACTGTTGGCACTGGTCGGTCCCAGTCATGCTAAAATCACAAAATCGTGGAAGTTGCAATACATATGGTAACCAGGAGGTAATATGTTTGAACTCCAGTGGGTGAGTACTCATGATGGGTCATAAACTGGGATCCTCTGGTTTTCACTGGTAGAACTGAATTACGAAATTAAAGGTTACTCAAGAAAGGGGATTGTTACTAAGGTATTTAAAGTGAATCAGGTGACTACGATTATAACAAATCTCATGAAAAAGAAGAGAAAGTGAAGTGGGATGAAATTGATGAGAAATAACAGAATGTCCTAGGTAAAGAAAGGGGTTTCACAAAAGGCTTCCCAGTGCGTAGTCCAGGTTTCTGTCCATGAACGGCTTATGGTTTGGCTAAAGTACACGGAAAATGAAAACTAACACTTTAAGATAACTATAAATGGCTGAATGAAGAGACTCAAGAAGAATTTTGAGGATAGACGACATTGTCATCCTGTATTCGCCTTACCAAACCTGATAGTGTCAAGCTACACATTTGCATAGAACTCGTTTACAACCTCTAATGTAATCAGCTCTACTGCAGCATATGAATTAGTAGATGCTTATATACTGTGGAACATAAAGAGTAGTTTATCTTTCACGCATTACTGAATGTTAAAGCAACTCGATAATATGTGATTTAGGCTAGGGCAGCATACAGAAATTCACGCTAATTGCTTCAAATCATGTGTACACTGAATCAGCAAGTTTTAAGGTCCCTAGATGATTTTTGTCGGTATAATACAGATACAACTCTACAGCCTGGAAAGATATATTTCTTAGCCAAACAAATCTTTGCTTTCCATTAAGCATTATTATTGTTTTCTTTAGTTCCTAGAGGAAAATAAGGCTTCAGCCGCATGTCTCCATTGCGTTTGGTTCTCTGCTAACGTTTTCACCTGACTCCATATCTGCCCACATGCATTCATCTCCTCTTCACATCACCTCCTCCTCCTCCATGTCACCCTCGCACTGACTACCAGCTCGACGTTTCCCATTCGTGCCCCACTCGAGTGATGGCCTGTCGTGTGATGTCACTTGATTGTTTGTTTTCTCAGAGTATGGCCAATCCACCTCCATTTCTTCCTGCATATTTGCTGCACAGTCGGTTCCTGCTGGGTTGGTTCGCTCCCAGAGATCCCTCACTGTTGCTGATCTTTTCTGGCCGGCCATCTGGTCTTGAGTAGTGTTGAGCGAAGACAGTTGTTGGTGAAGGTCTGTAGTTTGTTCGAAATGCCCTTCGTGACGCGGCGCGGTGCCAAGTCTCTGATCCATCCGTATAGGGGCAATAACTTCACATTGTAGTTGAAAATCCGGATGTTATTTTTCATGCTGAGTGCTGTTGATCTCCACATAGACTTGAGAGAAATGAAAGCTTGTCTTGCTTTCCCGATCCTCGCTGCTTTGTTATCCTCATCAGTTCCGTCCGCCTGTAGGTGAGATGCTTCCCAGGTAGGTCGGTAGGTGAAGGAGGTTGCTTCTTTCTGATTTCTCTCTTTTATGCTGATTGCTGTCTGTTGTTGTTGATATTGGTGTTGGCCAGGAATCTTTTTCACCACCTCTGTTTTCTCTATATTTACCTAAAGTCCTTCCTATCTTTGATGCTTCTTCTGACAACTTGTTGCTTTTCACTTATATATCTTCCAGTTTGTGGGAAATCAGACATATGTCATCATCGGCGAAGTCCAGATCCTCCAAGTCTTTCCTTAAGCATGATTGTTGATTATCTAAGAGAGAACAAGTCCAAATAATTCTCGAGAATTAAGAAAATATGGAATCGTTATTCCTTTCTCGAGTGTACCTGATGGCTGTCTAACTATTACGAATTTCATATGAGCCCAAACAGCGTTCATGATGTAGTTATCGATTAAAATAATTTCATTTGCAAAAATACATTTGTATCACTAACGTTCAACAAGGTCATATCATTTTTTTCTCAAAATGGATAACTGGCAACTGACTCAACACAAGATACAGCGTCTAAATAAGTGACTTTTGTCAGTTTGTTCCATATCATTATTATTATTATTTCCTTTAATTCCTAGAGGAATATAAGGCTTCAGCCGTGCATCTCCATTGCGTTCGGTTCTCTCCTAGAGTCTTCACCTGGCTCCAAGCCTGCCCACACACTTTCATCTCCTCTTCACATGACCTCCTCCAAGTCACCCTCGCATTGACGACCAACTCGCCGCTTCCCTTTCGGGTTCCACTCGAGCAATGGCTTGCCTAGTGATGTCACTTGATGCATGTTTCCTAAGAGTATGGCCAATCCATCTCCTTTTTTTCCTGCTTATTTGTTTCACAATCGGTTCCTGATGGGTTCGTTCGCTCCCAAAGATCCCTGTTGCTGATCTTTTCTGGCCATCTGATCTTGAGCGAAGTATTGAGCGAAGACAACTGTTGATGAAGGTTTGTAATTTGTTTGAGATGCTCTTTATGACGCGCAGTGCAAGTCCCTGATCCGTATAGTAGCACTGACTTCACAGTGGAGTTGAAAATCCGTATCTTATTTTTCATGATGAGTGTTGTTGACCTCCAAACAGACTTGAGAGTAGTGGAAACTTGTCTTGCTTTTCCGATTCTTGCTTTGATATCCTCGACAGTTCCGCCTGTAGTTGAAACGATGCTTCCCAAGTAGGTAAAAGAGGTTGTTTCTTTCAGGTTCCTCCCATTTATGCTGATTGTTGTCTGTTGTTGTTGCTGTTGCTGTTGGTGGTGTTGCCCAGGAATTTTCATCAAATGTCTGAAATTCTACGCCATCAAACTAAACGAGTTCTACTCCTCAAAATGATGACTCTCAGCTGCAGCGAAATTTCTCGAAGCCATTACATCTCAAACATATTAAAAGTATTGCTTTGTACGTTTCAGCTGACTAGACTTACATAATTTTCCTGAATAAACACAAATAGGCTTTAATACTAAACATCGGTTGCATTTACTCTCAGAACAGGAGAGGGATGGATAGTATGGCTTATCAGTATATCTCAGTTAAGTTAGTAAGTATGAAAACAGTAGTCGCAGGTAGATTTCTCAAAAAAATTACCCAAAACTTCTTACCTTTCTTCATGTGATTCACTATCTGAACTGATAGGATTCCCTGTGACATTCAGCCTGGTTAACAAACGATCGGGTAGATCATAAAGATTCTGTGTTGTTATATCTAGAGGTAGACTTGCACACGGTGCGTGAAGTATCGGTGATAAAGGCGGAGAGAATTGAGTTTGTCTAGTTGCTGCATAAGCGAAATTTGTTGGATGCGAGACACGATCAAAGAGTAATAAACTAGGCGGTGAAAATATTGGCGCTACAATTTGTTTCTCGGCTTCTGTATTTGTCTGTGCCAGTGCAGAGGTTTTTGAGTCTTTGTCTGTTCTTGTTGTTGTTGCTGTTGTTGTTGACGGTGATGATGAGGATGATGTTTCTGTAGGCGGATTGATATCACTTATTTCTGGTATAGTTAATTTTGTTAGATTTGGATCAAGACTATGCCTATTCCGTATTAAATACTCCGGCGTTTTACTGTTCGGCAATAAAACTTCACTTAACGAGATTGGCGTGGATACAGTTGCACCGAGTTCATCTGAGGAACAATCTGTATTGCCAGGTGAAGGATTATCTACTTTTAAGTATTCTTCAGCATTGTCTTTTTCTGATATTTCTACAATAACATCACTTCTTACCGGTTCACTATTACATTCATGAATAGTCTCTATCACAGGATTATCCGCATGAGAAGTAATTTTAATTAAACTATCACATTCTTGAAGTTCACTTTCTTGTTTCTGTTGTTCTTTTTGTTGTTGTACAGTTGATAGCTGGGAATCATTCACTGGAGATTTCGATGTCCCCCTGGTTGATGCATTGGACATGAGATTACCAGGGCTTCGATCATTTGTCTTTTTGTCTTGATTTGTTGTACAAGATGCATCATTATTTAGTTTACCTGAGCTTTCATCACTACGTTTTACATCACACGCTAAACTGGTACTGAGAGTATCTTCAGCGAGGGATACTTGATTTGTGAGTTTAGGCTTCTGATTAATTAATTTACTGTGTTTATTTGTGTGTTGATCAATATCGATACCATAGAGTTTGTGCTTTAACTTCTCTTGAAATGCCTGTTGACTATTTCGAAGCTTTTCTATCCATCTTTGCTAGAATAGTTAAAAAAAAAAACAAATGGTCACAAAACAAAATATGAATCCATTAGCGTTGAATACATTTCAGACAGTGATGAAGAAGATTTTTAAATCAGGTAGGTAATATTGGCGTAGTTGTGTTCTCTGAGCTGTACTTTGAAATTCAGCTTCGCAATTAGACTGTCCAGCTCAGAGAACATAACTACCCTAATTTTATATCGTTTTTGAAAGTCTGTCTTGCTGACATATATATATATAGGAGTAATGATTTATGAGAGATAGGGAGAGGGAGTAGGTTGGTTTTTGACGCCTTTCCCTTGTATACAAACTAGGAGGTCCAACTGATAATCCAGGCTGAACTATATTCATTTAGACAGTAGACTGAAACTTTCAACGAATGCGTCACTCAATAGATGATTGTACTCACTGATGAAATAGGTATTGTCGTCTGAAATGTCCATGAAAAAAATCTATTGCTATGAGCATTTAGGGAAAAAAATAAAAGAAGTATTTTCACTAAATAAAATGTTTTCAAATTTAAGTGAAAATATTCAGCCATTTTCGGGGTCGTGATTTATTTACCCGTCACAATGAAAAAATGATATATGTATCGCAAACTGCCAGGAGTAAGGTATCATGGGCTGTTGGATTCTCCCTCAGCAGCTGTACAGTCAGCAAGCTGGCCACATAAAATCAAGGTTCTAGGTTCAATCCTTGATGAAGTCTGGGTGCACAGGGTTGAAGAGTCTCGGACTGGGGCAAAACCATTGTCGAGTACTTCTTGGTTTTTAATGGTTCTCTAACTGACCTCAGTTCTAGATGTAATCTAACACAAAATCAATCAAATTACCGCAAACCAACATTTAAAATCGGAGTCATGCTGGCTAAATGGATGAGAAATGTGAAGTCAGATACCAAAGTGTTTACTCAATATAATTTTTTTCAACTTACAACAAAGTCGTCGAAGTTATTAAGTTCAAACTCTTGAATAATTTTCAAAAATGGTGATGTGTAGTGAGGCGTCATTACAAATCTGAATTAAGCCTACACTTTATTAAATCCCTTTATTATTATTCCCTCGGATTACAAGTGGAACAGAAGGCTTCAACAGCTCACCTCCATTTTCTCTAGTCCATTGAAGTCATCTTTATCTGACTGCATGATTATCCAGAAGCTCTCACCTCGTCCTCATATGATCTCTCTCATATCACCTTCGGCGCGAGGCCCAAATTGTGGTTTTCCATACCGGTTCCACTAGGAGGCCTGACGTATGATGTCACTCAACAACTTTACAATGCGTCCATTCCGTCTCCATTTCATTTCTGTTAATATTTTGGACGATAGGTACTTGGTTGGTTCGTTACCAGAGTCCGCTGTTGCTTATACTTTCTGACCATTTTATCTTCAGCATGGAACGAAGGAAGCTATTGATAAACATCTGTAGTCCATTGGAGACGCTTGTCATAACGCATTGTCTCAGAATCACATGAAAGCACTGACTAAACACTGGGTTTAAAAATCCAAATCTTATTCTTCATCTAGAGCGCAGAAGATTTCCAAACTGATTTGAAGGTGATGAAAGTCTGCCTTGCATTTCATTTTCCGATCCTGATTTTGACATCCGCATCCGTGTAGTCCACCTGTAGTTGAAACGATGATGAAGGGAGTAACATCTTTTAGATTACTTTCGTTGATAGTGATTGATGCTTGTTGTTCTTGTCGGTTGCTTATTTCCATTAACTCCGTCTTCTCTGTGCTGACCTGAAGTCCTCTCTGTGCTGCTTCTTCAGCTAGTCGGTCGGTTGTCTTCTGTAGATCTTTGAATTTGTGTGACATTAGACATAAATAGTTCACGGAGTCTGCTTGCCATTTCAACGTATTCCTCTGTCTTCTCAGCTCCCACAGCCTGGTGCACAATTCACTCCACCACAATCAAGAATCAAGTTGTTTTATGCTGCTTACAGCAGACTTCCAAACTAATTTTACACTAATGAATATCTCTTTTGCTTCTTCTATCCTACCTTTGACATCCTCATGCATGCCACTGCGTGTAGGTGAAACAATGTTGCTGTCCAGATAGTTGATGGAAGTTATCCGGTTCAAAATCCAAATCAATTTAGTCTTCTTTTTTCTTAAAGTTTTTGATGAACTGGAAATGTTGTAGTTTAACCCAAAGTTAACAAAACAATTCACAGAATGTTTCAGTTCATTATACTATTAGATGAGAATTTTGTTATCCCACCTATTTTTAAGTGGAAATACACTCATTCCAACATATATGTGTTTTTTTGCTCTTAGCTTGCTTTCCCCAAGGGATACACACATAAACGTGTAATTATGAAAAACGGTAAAATGCATTCTCTGACGAGTAAGTAGCATAAATAGTGTAGCAAAGAAAAAAACAACAACACAACAACAACAAACAAACATTATAACTCGGATAAACATGGATTAACTAGCTGTCATATTCAAGTATATCATAACTATAGTTAGTAAACAATATATAACTAAACATTTGTTTTGAGTGTTGTTATGTATTTTCAGTTGAATGATTTTTATATGGTAAAATGAAGTGTTCATTCTGCAATGGCGTATTTCTCTTCTCGTTTCGCTTGCAGCCTGAGTGGTGTTATCAAGTTTAAGCCTTTTTCTAGGAATATTCCATTTCCTTATGCTGATTTTTGCTTTTATCATACAATAGAAGACACATCGGTTGACTGGTTGACTTCTACTAGCTGGTGTCAATTCGTCTCCTCTATTCCAGCAAAGAATCAGGGCTTTCTTCTCCAGTATTTTAGGGTGTTTTGAGGTTTTTGTAGCGAATGAGTTGTTGGTTAGCCACACTCTCAACTTTTCATCTTTCTCTGAGCTTAAGACTGACCGAGACACCAGGTCCTCAGGTGGAACTCGCATGGGAAATTAGGAGTTGGGTGGTCGAGGGTGACATAGACGAGATCATGAGAGGAAAAGGTGATGACAGCGAGTTAGAGTCATAAATTTAGACATATTGATATTACCCCTCCTTTTCTCTAAAAACTAGAGAAAAGTTACTCTTACTTAATCTTAAACCATCACTTAAAGCCTTTAACAATTCCAGACAATTCGCCTATAAACATAGTAGGAGTACTTTAGATACAGCTAAAGTCTTGAATGGTAACTTTGTCTCCAGTTTAGACAAAGAGGCTTAATTTGTTCGCTGCACCTTCCTATTCTACACTCAAAATGAATGTTGGGTTGTCAAATGGCTGCATTCTTATTTCTCAGGAAGAAAGTAGTACACTGTATGTCAGGGGAAGTCCTCCACTTCATTGCTTACTGAGGCTGGTGTCCCTCAAGGCGCTGTCCTTTCTCGTTTTCTGTTTTCTTTGTTCTTGTATGACTTGCTTCACACTCTGATGAAATGAACTTTGTTAAGTATGCGGATGATCTAACTATTTCAATGTCTGTTAACTCCCAGCTTGACTGTACTAAAATGAACAGCTTTCTATCAGGAGTCAGTAAATGGTCTTCGTCTAATGGCCTTAAACTAAATCCTTCCAAATGTCAGACTGTCAATTTCAGTTTCCGATGTAAACGAAAGTTAAATGAAGCTGTTGGTTCCTATGACCCTTGCAAAATTGATGATACTGATATAGAAACCAAGTCTGAAGTTAAGTATCTTGGATTAATTCTCTCTTCTGACCTATCCTGGTCCTCTCATGTCTTAGCGATTTCTAAAAGAATACTTCGTTTGACTTTTTACATTAGGAAGTTAAGGCACTCAGGCATAACTCAACCACTCCTCTTACAGTTTATCAACTCGTGTATTTTACCTATTCTTCTTTACTGTTCATCCTTATTCTTTCCTGGATTGCTTAAAAAGGACTATGTCATACTTCGTAGAACTCTGAAAACTGACTGTCACTAGGGCGAGTGGTATCGTTGACATTGTCACTAAACGGCACTTGATTTCATGCAACAAATTTGCTAGAGGAATTTTGTCAGACTATGAGCACCCACTTTACCTACAGCTGTAACCTTGTGTCTCCTCAGGTAAAACATGAAGTCTTTTGAGAAGACTTTATGCACATACGTCTAAGTATAAAAATTCCACTATACCATATTTGGCACGTACTTTATGTGATGAAAGTAGTGTTAGGCATGAACTAACTAACTTTCTTTACACTAGTAGATAAACTATTTTCTCCATCCTTATTCCACCAAGCTTTATTGTTATTGTTCTTCTTATATTTATAATCCTCTCAATTGTTTCCGCTTATTTCCTCATAAGTGTTTACAGCCATTTAAGCTCTGTAATGACTGTTATTTTTTGGCTTTCCCCTCTCCATGCTATATATCAACAGAACATTAGATTCAATAATCTGTAACATACTAAAATTTCCAAATTATATTTATTGTTCTCACTTATATCGTAATTGTGGACAAATTCCTCTGGTTAATTTTATTTATGTTTTGAGTAAATCAGATGCAATATTGTGAAAAATGCTGAGAATTCCATTCTGTATTATAAGAGCTGTTTTTTGAATAAAGTTTTTTTTCCTTCACGTTCCCAGTGGAACATAGGGCTTCAAGCTAGTGGCTTGAAGTTTCTGTAGCGGTGTTTACTTCTACAGGATGGAGTTGCCAGCCTCATGCCCAACCTTTCCTCTTCACCAGCTTTGTTTCTGGCTTAACGAGGTAAAGGAGGGCGTCGAACGGGAATCGGACCCCGGACCATGTGCATGGTCGGTGAGCGTCCTAACCGCTATGCCACCGACGCACTTGGAATAAAGTAGATTATTATTATTATTAAAGTCAGTTATTAAGGACGGCAGTCGACAGGGTATAGTGACGATATGTTACTGATAACCTAAGTTCCACTCGGAACTCAATAGCATAATAATAATAATAGGTAGGTAAATAAATGAATAATAGTAATGGGACAGAATTCTAAACATCTTCTATCGCAAAGTATTCATTCTGACTGTAGAATTTTCAAGTAAGTTAATAATTCGTGGTAAGTCATCCAATGAAATTTCGCTCCATATGGAACACTCTCTAATAACCTGATCTACTTTACCTACCCTATTTGAAATCCTATTTTAAATTAGGCGCTGGCGTAAAATGCGATTCAGATGTAAAATTGAGTAATTAAAACAACATGAAGTAGAGTAAGTAAGAGCAAAGTATCAGATAGTTCAGTGATTTAAGCTGGTGGCCAGCTCTATATATCTCAACAACAAAATGAACCTTCTTTAAGAACTTTGACAGGAGTACTGAAGTCATTAATTTCAATTATTTCAAAATTATTATTAGTATTGCTCACCTTATCCAATTCATTAGCTGCCTGTAGTGTATAAACTCCTGTGATCTGTTGAAATCGTGTTATGAGTACAAGAACGATGGCATTTCGCAAGCCATTAGCTATTACAGCAAAATGAAAAAAGAAGAGTTTAGAATCCCATTTAAGAGTGAATGAGATTTTAAAAAGCGGTTAAAAGGTGAATTTCTCATTATAAATGAGCAATACGAATAAGTTCGGAAAATATAAGATTCTTATCATTACATGAAGTTGATAAAACAAATGATTTTCAGCAGAGGGGCTTTTCTCGACAAATTCATTGTCTCCGGCTGCTAAGTCTCCTTTATACATATAACGTTTTAGTGGGAAAAACCCTATGGGAGCCTAAATCTCAGGGGAGACTTAACCTGAGATATCACTGAGAGAAGGATTTCAACATCTTTGGGCAGAACATTCTTCTCAGCAACACTAAGAGTAGTGTTCTCCTGTCGTCCACTGGTCTGAAGAAGCCTGAAGGACAAGGTCTCTCATCTGACCACTTCCGTGTGCAAATATCACTTCACCTGCTCTAGTGAAGTCAGGAGTATCGGTCATTTGACGCTTGTCTTGTTTAAAAGTCCTCAAGAACACTATCCATTATGGCAGTAGTGGCTGTATGAAGACCGCGATAATCGATCACCCTGTAAGCACATCATTCCATCTCAAAAACGCCTCTTTCAAAGTAGCCTACAAAGTGAAGAACAGCCTCTCAAAGACACAATGGTTTCTTCTCCTTTGCACTGCTGGAGCTTTAGCAATTTAGACAGAGAAATCGGAGCTATGCATTCAAAAAGGGAATTATTCAACCAGTTCTACCATCATGGGCACACTTTTGTTGATTTCTGCTGACTTGATTTTGGTTTGCTTGTCTTTTTTTTACTACTTATAGCTATTCGATTTCTTTGAAACTTATAGGTAATTTCATATTTTTTTCTTCGTTTCTTTGTGGATCCTGATTACAACTCATTCGTTAAATTATCTATTTGCTTACGTAATTTGAATACACGTATTCAACCCATTTTCTGCATCGACTAACACTAACAAATATGATTATGACAACTCATCAGTTTTGTTACTTCCCTCTTTCATGAAATTTTTTATATGTATAAATGAGACTAAAGAAAATGAATTCCCCGAAAGCAACTTCTTCACTAAACCACTTGTTTTGTTATTTTCAATAAGGCTTTGAAGATAGTTGTTAAGGAATTAAAACCATGTGGAATGTTAAACTTAGAGCGAAAATAGTTGTTGGTGAAGGTCTGTAGTTTATTGGAAGTGCCCTTTGTGATGCATGGCGGCGCCAAGTCTCTGATGCATCCGTATAGCGGCACTAACTTCACAATGGAGTTGAAAATCCGAATCTTGTTTTTCATGCTGAATCTGTTGATCTCCACACAGACTTGAGAGTAATGAAGGCTTATCTTGCTTTGCCGATCCTCGCTTTGATATCCTCATCAGTTCCTTGCGCCTGTAGTTGAGATTTTGCTTGCCAGGTAGGTAGGTCGGTAAGTGAAGGAGGTTGCCTCTTTCAGATTTCTCTCTTTTATGCTGATTGTTATCTGTTGTAGTTGATGTAGCTGTTGCTGTTGGCCAGGAATATTCATCACCTCTGTTTCCTCTATGTTTACTTCAAGTCCTTCCTATCTTCTCCGGATGCTTCTTGTATCGCTAACTTGTTGCTTTCCACGTGCATATCTTCCAGTTTGTGGGAAATCAGACATATGTCATAATCGACGAAGTCCAGATTCTTCAGGTTTCTTGCGTGGGTCCATTTTATGCCTGTCTCGTCGTTGCCCGCTGTCTGTCGCATTATCCAGTCTACCGCAGTCTGGGGAACCACTGGAGGTAGTAAGCAGCCAGCCAGCTTTGTCTTACTCCCGTCTTCACTTCGAAGGATTCCGTGAGTTTCCCATTGTGGGTTACTGGACATTATCGTGCAACCGCTGGATGAGATGTATAATTGTTGGCGGCACCCCATGGTAGCGAAGTAGTTGTTAAATCACCTCTCGATCGACGCTATTGAAGGCCTTTTCAAAGTCGATCAAGTTGAGGTAGAGAGGTGACTGCCATTCCAAGTTCTGTTCAGGGATGATCCGCAGTGTTGCGATTTGATCGATTCATGACTTGTTTCTCTTGACTCCAGCCTGTTCGTTTCGAAGTTTTTCATCCACGGCTTGTTTTATTCTCCCCAGGATGATGTGGCTTAGAATTTTACTTGGAATGGACAAGAGCATAGTGCCACGTCAGTTCTTGCATTGACTTAAGTCTCATTTCTTTAACAGTTTGAATAAGTAGCGTTTCTTCCAATTCCCAGGTATCTTTCTTTGTGTCCACACCTTCTCCAGTAGTGGCGTGATCAAATCCGCTGTTGTCTCTGGGTCCATTTTCAATGCTTTTGCTGGTATTCTGTCTGGTCCTGCTGCTTTTCCAGTTTTTAGCAGCTTTTTGCCTTCAGGATTTCTGCTCTAATAAGGGGGTTGATGTAGTTCTGCTTCCTCTGTTGATATTATTGGGCACGTTGTAGGTGGCGGTCGATTTAGAAGTCTGTTCAGTCCAGTGTTACTTTTACTCCTTCCTCACAGCTTACATCTGAATAATATTATAAAGTCGAATATATAAGACATCATCTTTTGTATACTAAAGATTTCTTGTATTTTCAAGCACTAATGTTTGATTGTTAGTGAGGTTTATCTCAGCCTTCAGTAACAACTTTCATAATAAGACGAATTTCTCCGTGCAAACTACTGTATATAAGAAACCGATCAAACGTAAACACAAACCAAACGAGATGAAAGTATTAGAGCAGGAGTGTAATCACTTCATTCAACTGTATGCACATCAAAAGACCGAAAAGCAAAATGATGACAAGATCAACACAATCTACAAAACACATTGTATCAGTGTGGTGAGAGCAAGCTGCTAGCCAATTGGTTGACATTGATCTACGCTGATTGGTGGAAATTAATCTAGGCTGATTCAACAACCGATCACAGCTGACCTAGACGTGGACAAATATGATTCGCAGACAAGTGGCTCGCATTTCTGAGAAATATCGAAAACGAGAAAGCAGAAGACTGCGTTTTGTTTGCAATCAACCAATCAGAAGACCGCCTTCTTTCTGCGGGCAGAGCCTTATTAATGTACGTAAAATACATATAAATACCTGTTGGTTTTCGTAATAAAACTGATCTGTTGCCTGGCCCTTGTCTTCTGTTGTTACATCAGTTGTAAGAAACACTAAAGTGGCCAAAGTGTTCATCTCTTTCGACTTTAAAAATCCGAGAAGACATGACATTGTATTCCTTCATATTAGTACATGTAGACAACTGTAGACATAAATTAATTTGAGAAAAAGTGAAATCCTTGAACAGCGGAAACACTAAAAATTCCCGTAGTCGGATAAGTTTTATTTCAACTGATGCGTTCACACAGATCAGACTTATCAATCAATAAAGGTCATTTACCAAGGTTGTCAGGAAATAATTCATAGAGAATTTCAGAAAAGATCTCATCACGAGCTGACATCAGTTGGGGAACCATTGGGAAACCAGAAAGTACTGAACAGCTGCATCGTCCTAGTTTGAGACTCTTCAGCAGTACCCACCCACCAGGGTTCGAACCAAGGATCTTCAGGTTACAAGGCAAGCTCGTAGACCATTCAGCCACTGGGAGCCTATCCATTGACCCGTAAATTCCAATTTCCGCGAATCCGCTGCATACATATAATACAACCTCCAGCCAGTGTCATAGGCGACTAAGTGTCCTGGCTCGGTGGATCCCACTGGTCATGACGTTTCGCTAGAACTCCAGGTAACTTCCTGCATAGAGCCAGTCACTGGTGAGCATAAGATTATCTGGTAGAAGTTGGAATTTATGGGCTGTCGGCTTGAGACCCTGTGGTTCACTTTTCTAAGAGCTTACCTTGTAACCAGAAGCGTCTAAGTTCAAACCCTGGTGGGTGTTCACTAGCGAAGAGTTCCAAACTAAAGCTAAATAGAAATCCAATACTCTCTGATTTTCTAGTGCCTCTCTAAGTCATGTCAACTCGTAATCACACCTGTAGTCAATCAAATCTCTGCGAACCAATACTTGAAAATTTCGAAATACCCACTTCACACTGAAGGTAGTACTACAGTTATTGTGTCTAAAATGGCAAATTTTACCGATTTCACCATCCAAATCAGAAACCACCACCAAAACAAAGGCATGCATCTGAGCTTAGATTCATCATGATTATTTAGAAATGGGTATTTCACTTAGTTAGGAATGAACAACTTCACTCAGAATCGCTTTGTTGTACATGGATAAGAAATAATATTCAGACGGTAAGTTTGAACTTCTGCTAAATTATTTGCATAAGGTAAATGTTGAAATGTTCAATTATTATTAACACTTTGAACAAACCATAGACGCTATTACCACCTGTTGTTATGTCAGACAAACAAGACAAGATAGGAAGATTACTGAACAATTTCAACATCTGAGTGTTCTTTAAAAATACCAAACACACTACAGGTCAATCTAATTCATGTGAGAGACCGAATCTCGAAGGGTTTTTTAGTCTAAATACATTTGAAAAATAATTTCTGAAACCGTGACATTTTGGGAATTCAGACACAGAATGGGTACAAACAGTGTGCACTGTACATCATCACTGAAAAACCCAGTGGAACCATAATAGTTTGAATAGACTACAGGCATAGGTATATACGGTAAATTTCAGGAGTCACTGAGAACGGTTGATTGCAGAAATAATTCACAACAAATTAAATCCAAATTTCCTGAATTAAAATGACGCGGAAAGATGTTTTGCTATCAATCTCATGACTCATATAAATTAAATGTTTTACTACAGATGAAGTTAGCAGTCTGCCAATTGTGCTGATCAATGGTGTATACTCTCTCACTCTTACATGCAAAGTGCCGTCTCTTCTGTTTATGTATCCGTGACCACAAGGTATGGTATATGATGTAATCATTTGTGCATTACTGAAGCTTGAGGTAGTGTTAATTTTTTATTCCTTCACGTTCCTACTGGAACATAGGGCTTCAAGGTAGAGGCTTGAAGTTTCTGTAGCAGTGGTGTTTATTTTTACAGGATGGGGTTGCTAGCCTCATGCCTAACCTTCCCTCTTCGCCAATCTTATTATTGGCTTAGCGAGGTAAAGGAGTGCGTTGGTGACCGGGATTCGAACCCCGGACCACATGCGTGATCGGCGAGCATTCTATCGCTGTGCCACCGACGCACGGTAGTGTTAATTATTATCATTTATATCTTAAATCCCCAATCATTTTGTTTACTTTAACAGACCTTCCACTTTTAATTGTTCATGTCAACTGATCTGACGAGTAAGTGTGCAATCAGATTGTTCAACATGTATTGAATGAATGCATCACTTCTTTTTGGGAATGAACTCTGTCCTGTATTAACGCTATTCAAATCCGTCGTAGGGATTAATTGTTTTAAATTTGTCTAGTACCCATTAGACAGATAGATGTTACAAGTTTTTAATAGCTACGAATTGCATAACTTACCAGTAGCTTCAACAATTCCTAAGTCATGTATAGTGAAACGATCAAGTGCTATTACTTGTCTGTAGACTACAAAAACGCCACCTTCGGTTATACTACGACCAATTAATGGATTCTCTGAAAATGACTTCTAAAACAGAGAAAAAACACAGTTGAAAATGTATATAAAGTCAATTCGAAGTGTTTAGGAAGTCTGATAGCAGTTTTCATCAACTTACCATTATTAATTTAATATTATTACAAAACGATTGAAAACCAGCTAGGAGTACTGAAGAGCCATTTGTTCCTAGTTTGGAATCATTCAAAGTATGCACCCACCAACGGTAGAGCTAAAGTCCTTCCGGTTACAACGTCAGTTCGTAGACTGTTCAGGTGATGGGATCCGATCCAGTGGTTCTTCAACTTATGTCAGCTCGTGATCAAAGTAAGTACAGCACCGTGGAATATGTTGAATCTCTCTTCATTATTTCAGAATATGGCGTCATCTCATGATACATCTTACACATTAGAGAGGGAATATCAATGTGTGCAAATACAGCAAGTGGGTCTCCCTCATAAACGAGTATTCTGTACTATTTGTTAAAGTTTTTTTGAATCTCCAGTTGACTGAACGTTATCCACTTAAACATGGACTCTTCCTAGTATGGAGTCTTTGATATTGAGTTAAGATGAAGCATAATATTATTTGGCTGATGGTTGCAAGCATTTAAATCCAGGACGCATGTTTCGTTCGCTGCATGTGACTACAACACTGATGAGTGAGAACATCCTCTGTGAGATCCAGTCCCAGAATTCATAGTTTCAAATATCAAAGCATTCTATATGAACTACCCGTTAATAGTTTCAACCGAAGTTTCTAAGTTTATCGTCCTACTCAGTAGGGTGGTATTTACTGAACAGCCTTTCAGCTATGCAAAGTGTTACATTTTATTTTGCGTTTATTATGGATTCTGTTTACATTAATTCCTACATTTAAACTCAAAGTAATCTAGTAAAAAAATGGTGAATATCCAAGAAATATGTACATTTTCTATTGACAAATTGCCAGCGCCTCCGCCATACACAAAAACCGAAACCTGACGCCCTTTGAACCATTTGCCTTCACTTTGTAGATGATCTTGAAAGACAACTGTGGTGGAGCTACGTGGCCTGAGTTCACCAAGTGCTCGAGAATTGAGCTAGTAATTATCTTGCATTGTCCCTTTGCTAACTATGCCAGATAATGTTCAGAGATGCGTTTGGAGAGTGTGCGCTTTGTGCGGCCAATATAACTAGTTCCACATGAGCAGATGAATTTATAAACACACATTGAAGTGGCCTATCCAAAGAGGAAGTTTATCCCCTAAACATCCATTGATCATTTGTCGGCTGTTGAAATTGACCCGTTGCTCAGCCGCAAAGAAGGCTCTTCTCGGTGATCTGCATAAGCGATTCTTAAGGATCTCAGCAGAGGTATCACCTTTAAATTCAACGCTCACAAATAACAGTTTCTTTGGCATCGTATGGGATTTTTTCAGGCCTTTCCCTTAACTTCATGTTTTTCTCGATAAATCTTGGAGGATATCCATTCTCTTTGATGACTTGTCGAAGTCGCTTCAGTTTCCCGTCGTTTGTATCATTGGAACATATATTTCTTATTCTTGACGATAAGGAGTGGATCGGGTTTCTCTTTCTTCCCAAAGGTACCCAACTATGAAAATTCGTTTATTGACCATTATATGTTTGTTTCCTGTAGATCGATCTTTGGAGAGAACCATCAGTTCTCCCTTTTAGAAAAACATCCAAAAAATGGAATTACGAGTACATCTCTGATTCTGACGTGAATTCAATGGCGTGATGGCGGTTGTTGAACTCTTTAGTTATCATTTTGCTGTCGGTATTGTCGTCACATATGATGAAAGCATCATCCATGTATCTTTGGTACAAATGGAAACCATAGATAGTAGATCGTAACATGTTATTCTCCAGACTTGCCGAGGAGCAGTCTGTAAGTAAAGAATCCAATGGTGAATCCATTGCCGCTGCATCTCTTTGTCCATAGAGCGTGTATTTGAACTTGAATTGGACATTTAAAGTGACCTCAATAGTAGTTCCTTTAAGTAGTGGATCGGAACACACATTATGAATTTGCATATAATGCAAATTGCTTCAGTGACAGGAACATTGGTGGTTATTTCCGATAGGTAAAAGGATGTCTGCTAGCCATTCGGCAGTAGCATGATATGATGAAATTTGTCATATCGAAGATTGGACGTATTCGTACAGTCTCTCTGTGCACTTTCGGCAGACCATATAAACGGGGGAATCACGGAACCTGATGGCGTATTTCCTCAAATAATTTATAGCTGATAATCGATTCGTTATTCATCTTTTTCCTATCCTCATGAGAGTGACCAATAAGAGTGAAGGTACTTAATTTTATAGAATAAGGTTAGTTATGTAAGTAGTATCTTGGTGTAGTTTTTATTATCTTTATGAAACTATATACTACTGATTAACTGGGGTGAGTAGTTGCATATCATTCATACTAACCAGTGGTGCTTGCTAGCCGCATCGAAGTGACCTAAACACTGAACGGCAGTTTCGCTCATTTGTGGCAGGGTTCTTCAGTAGTGTGCCGGTTTAATTAAGCTCAGAGAGCTAAATCACTTCCAACCACCTGATTTCTGGCTAGCTGCTTGGGTGAAATGGTAATGCCGTATATGAAAATCGTAGTTTGCCAACTGATCGGCAATTTACACAGTGATTTGGCTCATTGAACTCCTTGAGTTAAACGGGTTAGACCGCTGATCAGCTTGACCACAAACGGGTGAAACGACCGACCGGTATTTAGACCACTTCGATCTGGCTTGTACACAACTACCTACTCACCACAATCAATCAATAATATGTAAGTTTGTGCAAATATGCCCGTTTTCTTGACTGCCATTTATAGTATCAAGCAGACCACATATTGTGTGTGTGTGATTAGAATAACTTGGTTTTCAAAGGAAACTACTATAGTCAAATTTCACCTCTCAAATTATGTACACTGCAAACTGCTAACCAATTTCCATGTTGTGAATTTGATTTGTAGTCGTTACTTGATGTTCCAGTTACACAGTATTTTGAGTATTAGAACAAGACATATAAGCGAACAATACTGTTGTTTTCAATTAGATCTTCTTCAGGCTTTACTCTAATTTACATAGATTTATATATATAACAGAGTTTAACCAATGACGGTGATTTTGTGGATCAAATAATAATATAATAACAATGTGGTAAATGTTTTCAACTTAATTAATAACGATGATTATAATGATAACAAAATATTGATAATAAGGTTTATGCAGGTGGCGATAAGAATAACAAAGGTAGTAATATGTGTATATGTAGACAATTCAATAAATAAATTTGGTCAAATCTTAAAAGTTACGTAACACTAAAGGTAGTTGAAGTGGACAGATAATCAGAGTTTAAATAAATATCATAAAAGTACGAAGGAGATGGAAAATAAGAAAGGTGGGAGGGTTTTGAATAGAATTCACCTAGGCAAGTAAGGGAGAGACAAAGGTAGAACAAACTTCTTTTGTTGTATGCAAAGACTAGGATTGTTCTCTCGAATTAATTCCCATAGCTTCGGCTATGTGTAAAAGACCGGTTCGAATTCCGTTCGAAAGGCTCGATGGAATGCGATAGATATCTTTGAAGGCGGCACTATTTTTGTCCACTTGGCGACCACTATCAATCAAATGAGCTAAAACAGAACTCAGTATAGATTTTATTTGACCTTTCCGAACCATGAAGGAAGATGCTCAATCATGCATTGCCTGCTATGATAATTCATGCTATCACTGTGTTCCGACCATCGATCAAAAACTGCTGACTATTTATTTTTTTTAAATTTTGATTTACAGCTTGATTCCATACCGTATTTTCAGTACAAGTATGGAATTTTCAGCATGGATATCGGCAGCCCAAATTCAGGCCGGCCATAGATATCGGGTGTGCGCCGGCAGGGGATCGAACCCCGGACCATATGCATGGTCGGCGAGAGTCCTAACCATTGTGCCACCGACGCACGCACCGACTATGTGAATTAAGGTGTTATAATGCAATGAAAAATTACTTCTAAACTCTGCGTCAACTACAGAGTAACAGACATTTTGAAGATGACGCAATTTAACTTTATTATTTGGATTGTCTATAATGAGAAACGACAATTCTAACTTACAAAAAGTAAAGTGCACTTCAAACTGCTAGTGCTTTTTTTCTAGAAAAAATTCCAACGTATGTCATGTGATTAGTGTTAATAATTAGCTTCATTTCCTCCACGTACACTTGATAAAACACTTTTTTTTAAACAGTGAAGAGATTGAAGATAGTGTAGAAGCTTATCAAACCAGTCTGGTATGAACAGACAATTCGTTACTTGTAATTTTGGAGGGGGGAATTTAACTAGAAAACGTGAAAATACAGCGTACACTGTACTTTATTAACATATTTTTACGGCTATTGTAATGAAATAGAAGCAGGATAATAGGATGTTAATTGAGCCAGTGAATTTCGAAGCTTTTAGGTTTATGGCTGATTACAAAACACGTCTGTTTTTTTCATCCCTTCACTTAATTTGAAACTTCAATCCTCTTTCTGTTAATACAAGAAAATGAGTTTAGAGAAAAACTGTTCGTGATAGTCACTTACATCGTCCACTGTCCATCTGTGTGCTTAGAATGTGAGCTATCAAAAACTCCATCATTGTATTCCATATAATTTCTTTCGTTCAGTTTGTTCTAATCGGATAAAATATAACTTCTAATGGGTTTTTGTCTACTCTTGCGAGTATTTAACACGTCTAAGACCTACTGATTTGCAAGTTTCTACTACCAGTTCTGAGGAAGAGCAAAATCGTGGATGGCAATGTATCCCAATAAAGGAGATAACTGTTCCTGAGATTTTTAACACAAACTATCATTGTCTGAAAAAGAAAAATACTCACTGCCTGCAGTTTTATTTCTTTGGGTGAGAGTTTGTACTTCTGCCCCTTTTTAGTTGTACATTTCTCGAAGGACGAGGCAACGAAGAAATATCATAGGGGATGGGATTTTGCTTCAGGTCAGACAATTGCCTTTATCATGCAACCTACTGTCAATTATTACATTTAAAAGAACACAAAATAATTGAGCAAAGAATATCCTTTTCGATAATTTCCTCTTCTGGTTCTACAATTATATATATGTTTATATACATAGAATATTCTAGAATAGTAGTCAATAACAATATTAGTGTTTTTTAAATAATATCGATTTGTGAAGTAAGACCACAATGGAAATACAGTTCATTAAAGATGCCTAAATCATTTTAATAATAAAGATATAATAGCAAATAGAATATCAACTAAAATTAGGAAAATTCCACAAAAATGGAGGATCATTTAAAACTAGATGGCCAAGGTAATGATAACGTCTGAACTAAGTTCTTTTGTACGCATAAATTAGACTTCTTAATCTAGATCCCCACAGCCTCAGCAATATTAAGTAAACGAACTCTAACAGCGAAATTGAAGTTCGTAGGTATGCGGTTAATAACCCTGAAAGTCTGGTTAAGATCAATCCTGTGTTCTGTCTACACAAGATGAAAGCGAATAGCGCTGCGAATAGATTTAGTTTGTCTTTTACTTAACCAGGAGGTAGGGTGATGTTCGGAAATTTGACACGCCTAACTGTACGGCCTATGTAACTGGCTCACTCCATAGCAGCAGTCGAATTGACAAATACACATGGAAGAGGCGAAATTAGGCAGTTTGTCTTTTACTCCCAAACGCAAAAGAGGAGTGGTTTTGAAGACGCAGCGTAATTCAGCAACAGGGAATTCTCTTTTTACCGCATTTCTAAGGCACTGTGTTAGTATCTCGCTGGTAGCCTTACCTTTGCCATCTTGGTTTGAATGACCCTCAATTTTTGTGGAATTTTCCTAATTTTAGTTGATATTCTATTTGCTATTATATCTTCATTATTATTACTATAGTTTAAGCATCCTTAATGAACTGTAATCCCATTGTGATCTTACTTAACAAATCAATATTATTTAAAAAACGCAAATATTGTTATTGACTACTAATCTAGAATATTCTATTTATATAAACATATATATAATTGCAGAGCCAGAAGACGAAATTATCGAAAAGTATATTCTTTGCTCAATTATTGCATTGTCTGGAGATCCTGAACAATAGGAAACTATTAGGCAGTAAATTCCGTTGGAAATTCTCTACACTATATAATCACTGCTGAGAATAAAGCCATTATCAATAATTAATTAATGTGGGTAACTGTGCATACCTTTTTTGGTGGTTTCTTGATTCTTGTGATTAAAAGAAAGTCATCGAAGAGGAAAGCGAAGATTTCGATAGTTTTTGTTCCATCTAAAGAAAGTGAATGCAAAATACAACATACTACTGTTAATAGTACTATCCAAGGTCTTATTTTCAATAATTCTCAAAGTAAACTAAAGCAAAACACCGAATTAGCAAATGAACTATAGCATTTTATATTCAGTATGTGAATTTCCAAGGTTATGAAACTCTATTTATTATTATAATTATTGTTTTGGGCTTCAACAATGCATCTTCGTTTCATCCTGTTCGCTTCCGTTGTCATTTAGCCGTCAATGAGCTTTTTTAGCCTCTTCAAACAATCTCCTCTATGTCACACTTGAAGCCACGACCATCTCATCGTTTCTGAATCGAGTTCCACTTGAGGGACTGTCTGACTCATGACGTCACTCAATGACTTCCTCAGAGTGTGTCCTATCCACTTGCATTTTATTCTGAACATTTGTTTTTTACCAGAGCTTCATTTTTGTTTATCGTTTCTGACCAGTCACCTGGTCTTTGCTGTGGAGTAAGCGAAGACAGCTGTTGATGAATGTCTGCAACCTGTTGAAAACTAGGTGAGGTTATCATAATCATTATAATAAGGGTTTAATTTTGTATTTCCCAATGAATGAAAAACAAAACGATACTGTTTTTACTGACGTTTATAATAAATTTTGGTGCTTAATAATGCTGAACCCACCTGTTTGAACCCAGCCTAGGTGAGGCTATTCTATTTCATCCTCAGTCAGGCTTAGTATTCGAATTTTCCCTACATTGTAACTCAAGTTTTCTAGCCTTGCTGGCACTTTTTTCAACATAAACTAGAGGATGAAAAGACGTTAGTAGCATCCTTGGGTTGCTGTAGTTTGGAATAACTTCAGTGTCCAGGATGTCTCATTGAAAAAATTTTTTTTAAAATAATATTATTAGAACTAAGTTTTATGGACTATAGTTTGCCTGCTTAGATCATGCTACGAAATAACTGTCAGTTTAAATCGAAATTCATTCATTATTGATTTCGGTGACACCAAAACATCTTCCTGTAACTAAGCAAGTGAATCTGTATCACGACACAGAATGACATCATTTTTCCTAATACGTTCTGACAATTCAGTTGGTGCTCAGTAAAGTCTCAACTAGTTGCGGGTGTTTAATTGAATTTTAGACTTTCCGTCGACTGATTGGACCGAAGTGCTTGGTCTCTGGCTGACATGTCGGCTTTTTGTACAGATGCATCGACGATGTTTGGGCATGTAATTAGAATTTAATTGGTGGATGGTAACTAGCAGTGGAATCCAGGATGTGCATTTCGTCCTATTTGGGACTCGACAGTTGGATGTGGATAACGCCTTGGCTTTTGAAACAATGGGCACTGGGCTCGAGCCTTGGTGGGAACATTATCACTCACTGGGGAATGCTGGTACATCCAGTGAAGAGTCTTAAATAGGACGAAATGCGCATCCTGGTGGATTCCACTGCTAGTCACCATCAACCATTTAAATTCTAGTTTCGGGTGTCCTTCAAATAACTCTAGGAAATTTTCGTGTATAACTGATACGGCTGTTAATACAACTGCACGCATTATAAACCTTAACGTGCTGTAAAGACCTACTGCTGCCAATAACCATAACTACAACCAATTCAGTGACAATGTCATGGCCAGGCAAAAGAAAGGACGAGATAGACAGTCGAGAAGAGAGATTCTGTTGCCTGAAACAACAGTCAAGAGGGTTGCTAGACAAGCTAAATACTTATGATTTGATGACATTTTCAAGGACGAAATTCATTTGAAGGATCGAGGAGTTAAGAACTTCAGCAATCATCCTCCGACTGTATGGTTTACTAAAGGTCAAAAGGGTTGGTATGGCACCATCTAATCGCCAAATAGTCACCCAGAATTTTAGAACCTGTAAGGCAACAACTACATAAGTACTCTTTCTGAGATATTTTCGAATTTATTGAATGTACAGAAGACGTGAACGTAAATGACAAACATATGCTATTAGTGGACGTAGAATCTCTTTTACCAACCTGTCTATCATAGAAGCAATTTTTTCCTGTGCAGATATATGTAGTACAAGAATCTGAAAGAATTACTACTGAAATGCACATTTAATGTACAATTTACCTTCAACGACGATATTTACAGAAAGAAAGATGGGTCTTCCACAGACTCTTTTGGCAGACTGCTTTATGGCCAGTTTGGAAAATGAGATCTTAAAATCAACAACAGACAAATTGTTGCTGTACAAAGCGTATGTCGACAACACTTTTAAAGTCTGCCATGATGATTCTGATTAAAAATGTATCTTACAGGAGTTCAACAATTGCTACCCTTCACTCAAACCGGGTTAGAGAACACTACTCAGCATCGCTGCAAACAGGAGGCACTGGTCTAATCAGAAGCACCATAACTGAACACCTTGTCAACATGTGTCACAGCATCTCAACTGGCTCGTCATTTAGAGTCATTTGAAAAGTAAGCAAAAATCCACCAAAGAAAGTGTCTTCCAGCATTCTTTGGACCACAGAATCCCTCGTTATGTGCATCGAAAAGCCGGAACTGTGTATTCGAAAGAAACTAGTTTGACCTCTACTTTTATGATGGATCTTGTTCTGTTTGACTCCTTTTATTTCGTTTTATTCCAACTTCGGTTATAAAGACTATTACTTCAGTCTGTTTCCATGATCATCCCATTCACACCTGCATTCCTTTTTTAGTGTAAAAAAAACTATATTCTGATCCTACGTAATTTTGTATCTAATCCACTTGTAATCCATACCCACATCTTTAACCTTTCATATCAAGTTAATAGTTATTTTCATTTTTAATCTCCTCCCTCGTTATTACGTGGAATTAAATAGTAATTTTATCTTGAGCTGACATCTCTTAGACAGAATGAATATGCTAACAAACCAATGAGATTCAAGTTTAGGTTTGTAGGAATTTCATTGACTGGTTACAGGATTTCATCATGAGGTGACTTCGGTTTGAGAAACATTGGCAAACGTCGGAGTATTGGACAGCCAACTGTTTCGTCAACCTAGTTTGGGACTCTTCATCAGGACCTTGTGGTTACAAGTCAACCTAGTAGACCATTAAGCCACTGGGACACGATATAATGGGCAGTCCATGAATTCCAACTTCTGCCAATTCAAGACGCAGCCTACTGGCCTATAAGCTCGCTAGCTTTGTAACTAGGAGGTCCTGGGTTCAAACCCCTGTGGTTGGTACTGTTAAAGAGTTCTATACTAGGACAAAACAGATGTCCAGTACTCCCAGGTTTTCTAGTGCTTCTCTAACCGATGTCAGCTCATGCTGAAATCCTGTAACCAATCAGTCAAATCCCCACAAACCAGTACTTAAAAGTAATTGTATCTATATAAACTTATATATATAAGTGCGATTGTACAGCTGCTTTTGAGAATGAATTTGACGAAGAGATATCTTTGCTGAATTTCTTGTTCTTTTTGCTCGAATGTTCTGATAGATATTTGCCATGAGTTAAGAACTGCTGAGAGTTCAGCCTTCTAAAGCAGTGCCAAATAAAAGGAGTGCCACAAGCGAGGGTAACTACGGGCTAATGCCAGGCAGAAATTTGGCAAATTTAGATGGACACAACAAAACTTGAACAACTCAAATAACAAATAATACTCACCATTGAGTGTCAAAAATCCTTCATGTAATAACTGACGTTTAGGATTTGCAATCAATCGTTCACATGGTTGTCGTGCTAAACTTTGACGCAGAAATTCAGGAATGAAAACTCTTGGCTCTAATTCTGATACTGATGGCCAGATTAACTGTGATTGAATTTCTTGAAGTCTTTCAAAATTTTTCAACCAACGCATTTTATCTTCCAGGGATTCTAACAATTAAAAAAAAGGTGGACAATATTAGACTGAATTGTTTGAAGTCTCTTTTAAAAATAAGACAGTTTCTCATTTAAAGGAAGTGTGATAATTTAAAAATTCCACAGATTAACTTCGGTAAGCTTAAACACCACTGGGTTACTCAATCTTCCAGCCATTAAAATGTAACACATTTAACTCTATTTCATATGAATTTTACAGCCAAATCACATAACTGAATGGTAATGTTCACTCATACCTATTTTTAGATCGGTAGCAACCTACTACTATATTTCCGACAAAGAATGAAGGCAAAATATCATGAATGATTTGAATCCGCATTGGATAGGACAGTATTATTCCAAATGTTGCACTATCCACACTAGTGTTTTATTCCTCTGCCTACCAAGTGGAACATAAGGCTTCAAGCTTTAGCTTTGAAGTTTCTGTAGTAGTGAGATTTGTGTTTTACGGAGTGGAATCGCTAGCCTCACGCTCAACTATCCCCTTTTCACCGGTCTTACTGTGGTGAGAGCTGTCTGCTAGCCAAAATTGGTAGACAGCAATTGACGTCAATGTTTACGTCCCAAAAAACAAGAAAAAAGCTTAACCTTGAGGAACTCAACAACCAATTACGGCAGAATTGGCGTGGGCGGATTCGATTCGCAGATATATCACCGGATTGTCTCAGATATGGCACCAAGGAGGTGACAGAATAACCTTCATCAGGAAAGCAACCAATCAGAAGACGTTGCTTCTCTGCTAACAATAACGCTAATAATAATGTACATAAACATCTATAAGTATTTGTTGGTTTTTTCAATAAACGATCGCTTGCCTGTCCCTTGTCTTCTGTTGTTACATTACTACTGCCTAAGTGAGGTGGCCTGAGGTCGAACCTCGGACCACGTGAGTGGTTGACAAATGTTCAACCTATGAACCACCAAAGCAGTATTATTAGTTCACTTTTTTGTATTGCGTTACACTGAATGAATTCCCCCAGTAAAGTCTGCAATGTGATCACCAAAGTGGATGAGCCGCCAATGTGATGCACACTGGCATAATGTTAGTTGGCTGTAGGTAATCAGCAGGAACAGATGGACCTACATGTCGTGTTTGTTAGCACTCATCATCAAAGCATATCTGCAACCTCAGAACGAAACTGATTTCCCCATTGTAGATTCGAAAATGTTCAATATTGACAACTTTTTCAAAGATAAAGAATTTTTAGAATTAATTAGGTTTTACTTCGATTGGACACTAGTAATAAGTGTGATGTGTCTAGTCCTTTCTTTGGTGTAGACTGAATTCTATCGGTCAGGTTTGCAGTATGACCACCACTCCAGTTAGCTCATCATCCCTGTGCACACTGGTTTGATTATATTGGATGGTTGGAGGCGATCGGCAGGAAGCCTTGCTTGACCTAGGTTTCGTGCTAGTTGGCACTCACCAGTCAGCAAGGCAGGCGTATCAGTAACCTTGAAGGAATTCATGTCTCTTCCGAGATTCGAACCCGCGTCACCCAATACTGCAGTCAGAGACCTTACCACTGAGCTATTCGGGTCCACGATCGACCTCATATAGGACTGTAGGGGAGTCGAATCTCAGAAGGGACATGACTTGCTTCAAGGTTTCAGGTACGCTTTGCTGATGAGTACCAACTAGCATGAAACCTAGATCCAAGGCTTTCTGCCGGTCGCCTTCAATCGTCTAATAAAGTTCTACTTCGCAACACAGACTAATACTTCCAGCTTTCAACGTGCATATTCATATTTCTGCTCCAACGTCACTCCCTAGGTTCAGATCTATTTGCACACATGTCTTAGTTCCTCATTCTTCTGAGTACATCATCTAGCATTATTTTATGTTAGGCAGTTATGAGAACTGTATTGTTTTTCAAATATAGTGTTTCTTAAATATGCGTATATAAATATGTACATATATATCTTCTTAAACTTAAGAAATACTTTCCCGGCATCATCTTCTTTATTTGATTTTACTTTAACTGATAGGGGAAAAAAGAAGATTGAACGACACAACAAACTAGACACTCTCGTTTTTCTTCCCCCCCCCCCCCCGTATAACTACTTACTTGATTGACAATAAAGAGATATTGGAAATCCAATTTGTATAATATTTTGAGCAGACGCATACAACTATAAGATATATATATATAGCATATACTACATTATTAGTAGATAGGTAGGTAGAGGCTGCTGGGTGTGGCTGATGCTGCTGCTGCTGCCATTCTCCTGTCCATCTTCTGATATTTTTGTAAAAATGAACAGATCGACTATCTTTCCGTCTATCACTGTCTCTCTTGCTATCTCTCTCTAAACAGAATCAGCAGCCATCGCATAACAAAGCAAACCATTGTCTATAAATAGTTTTATCTACTAATTTAGTAGTTATGCAGTTCTATTTGAATTTGTATGACACAAAAGAAATCTAAGGAACGTAACTGACATGTAAAGTTATACATATATAGATATATATGCTTTATATTGGATGTATAAGAAGGCCATAAGGCATAAAAGTTCTTCTTCTATCTTGAGTTTCCATTTATAACTCTAAAACTCTTTTTTGGATCTGCTTATTCTCGCTAAGACAAAAGAAAGATTTAAGAGATATTGAAGGTTAGTTAGTAGAAAAGGAGGAAGAAATGCGGTGGGGGGGATAGAACTAGAAAACGTTTATCAGAAAATAAACAAAATCTTAAATGAAGTAATGCTTTAAATTGTTCAACTGTAACATTACATGTGTATATTGATGCTTTCAGATTTAATCCGATTTAAATTACAACTCATGCGGGAAAATGTTGTTTTGGGTGTTATTGAGTAATTTTTGTCACATATCAGAGTTATTTAGACGGCCAGTGGAATTATATGTTCATGTTTTGCAGAAGGTTTATACCCCTTTTGGATGTTTTGTTTAGACGTGCGTATAGTCCTTAGTTTAGTGAAGTCAAGTTTGCATTGTGACCACCAAGTGAGGTGGCTCACTATCATGGTGCACTCTCAGTTGTTGTTAAATGGCCAGACCCAATTAGTAGGAAGCCTTGAACCCAAGTTTAGTGCTTACTGGCACTCGTCATGAAGGTATACGTACAATCTGCAAGGAACTCATAACTCTTGTGAGATTCACTCCTAAGTCACCCAGTTTTGCAGCCAGAAATGTCGGGAGTTGTGATTAAACTCCCCAAGAATGAACTGTAATGGAGAGTCGCTTAGCATGATGTCCAAAATTCAAACTTGACTCGTGGAATTCAGTCTGCACCAAACGAAGGACCAGACGCATGACAGATACTACTTAGTAACCAATTAAAGTATCCATCACTATCCAACGGGAGATCAATTAACAGCCGCAACAGCTGAGTGATAACATCTCTGACTGCAGCACTGGGTTATCCAGGTTCGAATCTCAGAAGGCACAAAAATCCCCTAAAAAGTGTAGATACACCTTACTAATGAGTGGTAATGAACACGAAACCTACGTCTAAGGCTTCTTGCTGATAGACTACAATCATCTAATTACAATTCAGGTTAGTTGTGTTTTCTTAGCCCAGTACTCTAAACTGGAAAGCTTTTCGTTGTCTTGTAGACCATTTCTTCTGGTTGTACTTTATATTAAAGAGCACGACTACGTATGAAACTGGATGTCCATGAACAGCACGTCTTCCTTCCATTGGAACGATGAACAGACATCAACCATTAGTAAGTATACTCGAAATGAACTTGCTGTTCTAAAAAAATAAGTTATTAAGTTGAATAGTTTGGGCGTAAAGGCAATTTAATTCATTAGATAATTCAACTAGTAATTTCTCTCTATTATCTCTAATAGATAGCGTTTACAAATTATGAACCTGTGGATTTCTGGCCTGACTGACTGACTGCTATCAACGTAGAACTTTGCACAGATGTGCAGCAGGTCGAGATGCTACACTCCCTCCATGTAGCACAAAAAGCAAGAGAATAGGGTAAAGAGAGATTCAATAATAATAATTTGCTTTATTCCAAAACAGTACTTGTGATACAAAATGGAATTCTCAGCATTTTTACTACAGTAATGCATCCAGTTAGTACATTGTCAATAAATGGAATTCTACATAGATTAAGGAAATCTCAGTTCATTATTACAACACATTGGCATGTCGGTAGCAAAGCCAAAGTTGGACAGTGTTTGAATGTGTTAGAAAAGTAGGTGTTGTCATATTTACTGGCATAAGCAGAAGAAAGAAACAAAACAGTAGAAAACGGAAAAAAGAAAGAGTATAGGAAAAGAAAGAAAAAAAATGTTGTACCTATAAATGATGTGAGTTGGAAAGACGAGATCCAGTTGTTCTACTGACTATATAATAAGTTATAGGTATCACGCCTAATGCTTTCTTTATCGTACAGAACATGTGCTAAGTTGGGTATGGTTGAGTTTCTGTACTTGCTTGTGCGAGCATATGGTTTTCTATATAGGCTTCTGGTTTTGCCTGATGAGATGCAAGGGGAGAGTTGTGAGTGAAGAGGGTGGTGTGAGTTAGATAAAATGGATTTGGCCCATTTTTCACATGAGTCCATGTGCCTGTCTACCAGAATATTAACAAGCTGGTTAAGTGGCACGTTGCTTACCCTGCTGACAACATTTAACATCCTGCGTAATATGTTATAGTCTTTCTTCAGTAGCCCGGGAAAAACAAACGGGGAACAATAGAGAATAATAGGGAGAATGCGAGTGTTGACGAATTGTAGGAGTAAGGGTTGGGTTATACCAGAATGTCTTAACTTCTTGATGTAGAAGGTAAGACAGAATATTTTCTTAGAAATCGTTAAGATATGAGATGACCAGGAAAGATCAGCAGATAGAATGACACCTAGGTATTTAATTTCCGACTAGGTTTCTACTTCAGTGCTATCTATGTTGCATACCTCGTGAGAGCTAACCAGTTTGTTTAGGTCAGATTTATGCCTAAAGGTGAAATTGACTGTTTGGCATTTGGAGGGGTTTAAAGTAAAACCGTATACCTTGGACGATTGGCTGATTTCTGATAGAAAGCCATTTAGTTTAGAGCAGTCACTTTGACATTTGACAGGCAAAGATACAGTCACGTCGTCAGCATATTTGGCAAAATTAATGTCATTTGAAGATGGTAAGTCATGTAGAAAGAAAGAAAAGATAAGTGGGGAGAGTACAGCACCTTGGGGGACACCAGCTTCAGTGAGCACAGTAGAGGAGGATTTACCTTTGTATACGGTGTACTGCATTCTGTTAGAGAAGTAGGAATGCAACCAGTTAGTAACCCATGACTCAGTTATCAGAAATATGGGACAAAAAGAAAAGTAATATGGAATAACAATAATATTTTATTGGCTACGATAAATCACAAAGAGTGGATTCATTTGCAACAGCCATTGAGAACAACGAATTTGAGCCAAATCACTGATTGTCTGCAGCCCTTATTGGTTCTGACCATCCCGAAGACACCAAACAGTCAGGAAGTCTACATCGCCACACATAACTTAAACTAATTGTTATGGACTTCATTGACTGATTAAGCCATGTTTTGGTTTGAAAACCACTAGATCTTTTCCAACCTGACCCTATTTCATCTATCATTGCCTGTCGAGGACGAAGAAAGCTAGGAATGCATGCTTAACATTCGCTCCCGCCAAATGTAAGATGATGCTATAGGGCCGGAATACATCGACTCCTTGCTAAGAAATATGGTTTGAAGTGGTGGAGCTTGCTGACCACTTCATTTATTACGGAATTTGCATCAACCAGTGCCAAAGGGTTGATCGCTGACGAAATCTCAGCACGAATACAGAAGATTAATTTCGTATATGCCAACTTGCGCCATCTCTAGCGTAGATGTGATATCCGGTTATCGACCAAAGGGTGTGTGTACTGCTCAGCAGTTCGCTTCATCCTCCTTTATGGATGTGAGACCTGGCCACTGAAAGTGGAAGACATGAAAAGGCTAGCTAGCAGTCTTTGATCATAGGTGTCTGCGTTCCATCACCCGTGTGTTAGGTGGTATAATAGGGTGAGCAACACTGAGGTTAGGCGTCGAGTGTTAGGTAAGGAGAGGAAATCAGTCGATGAGGTTGTGAAATGGATAGAACATGTGTTATGCATGCCTAGCCATGTTATTCGCTGACATAGGATCAGGTTGGAAAGGAGTTAGCTAGTGACGGTCTAACCAAAACATGGCTCCATAACATTCAAGTGTTGGTTTGTAGGGATTTGATTGGTTACAGGATTTCATCATGAGCTGACATTAGTTACAGAACCATTGGAAGCGACTTTCCGTATTCAGGTAGGTAGTTACCTGAGAATGTAGTGAGAAGTCGTGACCAGTGGGATGCAGCTGGTCGGGTGTGAGGACAAATACTTGCCAAAGACATTGGCTAGGGGTCGTGTTATGTCGTGAATTGGCAGAAGTTAGAATTCATGGGCTGACCATTGGTTCGGGTCCCAGTGGCTTAATGGTATCCGAGCTCGCCTTGTAACCATAAGGTCCTGGGTTCGAATTCCGGTGGGCGCGTACTGATGAAGAGTCCCAAACTAGGACGAGGCAGCCGTCCACTATTCCCAAGTGTTCCAATGGTTCTCTGACTGATATCAGCTCATGAATTGAGTCATGTAGGGCGATGTAGACTTCCTGACTGGCTTGGGTCCTTGGGATGGTAAAAACCAGAGAAATCCTTGAACTTAGTGTTTCTTGCTTGTTGCCACTTGTCAGCAAGCCTTCTCTTCCACCTGGAAGAAAGTCAGTCAGAGTAGCTCAATGGTAACGTCTCTGACAAGGTCAGTGTGTGGTGCGGATTTAAATCTCTGAAGGACATATCAGTTCTTTACAGGTTGCAGATACACCTTGCTGAAGAGTGTTAAAAACCAGCACGCGATCTAGGTCTACTGCTTCCTGTCGGTTACTTTCAGTTTATTAACACTAATTTATCATTTTGTTAGATGAATTCTGCCTTGTTAGACAGGCATATTTGTATTTTGATTCTGACACGATTTCACTGAATGTAAGAGCCATTTAAAACCTCATCTTTCGAGGTAAAGTTGCACTTATTTTGAGGAAGAAATATCTAGAAATAACACAAATTAATCTTGAAGTTCAACTGTAATATACCTGTTCAGTTAACACATTTCTGAATGTTATTTGAAATTTGAAATACAAAATGGCGCTATCACAGACAGCGAAATTAATTTTCACTGGTTTCCCATCAATATTTATCAAAAGATATCACAAATGGATTGAGAACAATTTAAGAAATGGAGAAAGTACTTACTCAGTGAATTTTCAACTTTTGTTAAACACGCTGTTAACATTTCTTGTTCAGCACTACTTGCTGTATATCGGCGGATACTGCTTAGCATTAATGGTATCTTCATGTAGTGTTGCATTGGTGCAACTAGGAGGTCAGTCAGTTGAAGTCGACGACACCTTGCATCTTGTTCACACCACTGAATTAGGACAAAAAGAAGAGGAGATGAGATATGAACAACTTATAGACATTCTATGAATCAAACAGAATCTTAAGAAAATTGTACACATTTTATGATATTCTTAGCTCCTAACCATATTTTCGAACATTGAACATGCGTTTGGTTTTAGTTTTGCACCCTTAGCGGTAGGAATTTCAACCTACTGTGAGTGTTTAAGGAAACTACTTGAAACTATGATAAAAATTGCTGATCACCCAATAACCGGTGGCTAATCTCTGAAAATGAACTGTCTTAATTTCCGTGATCAACTATTTTCATACCTTCTATACCTCAAAACTGATAATTCTTATTGACCAACATCACCACAGAGTGGGTTCTGAGTGGAACACTGGGCCTCAGCTGCACACCTTCATTTCACCGTGTTCTCTACAGTCCACGATTGCCTGTAACCTCCGATTACCTCCTCATATGGTTTCCTACACGTCCCCCCTGAATTCCTTATCGTTTCATATTCGAGTTCCACTCTGAAGCCTAGCAAAGGAAGTTACTAGACTGTCTTATCAGCGTATTTCCAGTCGATTCCCATTTCAAGCTGCATATTTGTTGGGTGATAGGTCCTTAGTTGGTCCACTGCCTGACAGAGTTCCTTGTTACTTATTTATTTCAGTTGGTCATCTGACCTTCGGTACAAAATGAAGCCAGCTGGTAGAGTTGAAGCACTGACTTAAAATTACGGCACAAGATGAACATATTCTTCATCATGCTAAGTTCAGCAGATCTCTTCTTGATCTTCATTGCGTTTGATATGTTTTTCTGTGCCATAGTTTTTAGTTGAAACGATACTGTCTAGATAAGTGAAATTTCTTCCGTCAATAGTCATTGGTGCTCGTTATTGTTGTTGTCGTTTATTGGTGGGTATTTTCATCGCCCTTTGTTTCGTCTGAGCTCACTTGAAATCATGTCCCTTGCCCCTTCTTTTGCCGAAACTTATTGGTGACATTAAGAACAAAAATCAACCGCAAAGTTCAGATCTGTGTGTCACATCAAATTAATTTATCTAGTAATGAATAAAGATTATTGTTATTGTCTCCTTTAGTTCCTAGAGGAACACAGGATTTCAGCCGCACATCTCCATTGCGTTCGATTCACTGACAACGTTTTCACCTGGCTACACGTGTGCCCATATGCATTCATTTCCTCTTCACATGACCTCGTCCATATAGCCCCGCCCTCACACTGACGATCAACTCGCCGCTTCTCATTCAGGTTCCACTCGAAAGACAGCCTGGTGAGTGACATAACTCAATTGATGGTTTTCTCAGAGTATGGCCAGTCCACCCCCGTTTCTTCCTGCAGATTTGTGGCACAATCGGTTCCTGCTGGGTTGGTTCGTTCATTGCCAGAGATCCTTGTTGCTGATCTTTTCTGGCTGGCCATCTGATCTTGAGTAGTGTTGAGCGAAGACAGTTGTAAGTAAAGGTTTATAGTTTGTTCAAAGTGCCCTTCGTGACGCGGCGCGGCGCAGCGCCAAGTCTCTGATCCATCCGTATAGTAGCACTAACTTTACAATGGAGTTGAAAATCCGGATGTTATTTTTCATGCTGAGTGCTGTTGATTTCCACACAGACTTGAGAGAAATGAAAGCTTGTCTTGCTTTTTTCCTGCTTTGATATCCCCATCATTTCCTTGCGCCTAAAGTTGAGAAGATGTTTCCCAGATAGGTTGGTAGGTGAAGGAGGTCGCTTCTTTCAGGTTTCTCCCATTTATGATGATTATTGTCTGTTGTTGTTGCTGTTGGTGTTGGCCAGGAATCTTCATCACCTACCTCTTTTTTTCTCCTTGTTCACCTAAAGTCCTTCCTATCTTTGATGTTTTTTATTCCAGTTTGTAGGAAATCAGACATATGTCATCATCGGCAGAGTCCAGATCCTCCAAGTATTTTGTGTGTGTCCATCTCATGCCTGTTTCCTCGCTACCCGCCTCTGCCCGTCGCATAATCTAGTCTACCGCAATCAGGAAAATCATTGGAAATAGTAGGCAGCCAGCCAGCCAGCCTTGTCTTTCTCCCGTCTTCACTTCAAAGGATTCCCTGATTAACTCTCTATTGTTATCCTTCACTTGCTTAATTAATTTGAAGAATGCCCATTTAAAAATTTCAAAAGACTGATGACTGAACAAAGAATACTGTTTTGGATAAATTCTTCATCAGATTTTACAGTTGTAAATCCATAATAATAAAAGAATGATCGGAGTTGACAACATTAGTGGTTTTTAAAAATAGAAACATAGAATCATTTAAATCAGAATTCGAAAAGTCATTTGCATATAAATTGTTAGTAGATTGTAGTGCATGATATATGTGTCTATGGTAATACTTATAACTGTAATACTGAATTGAACACCAGTATGACAAAGTAAGTGATTGTGAATGACAACGAATGCATAGTAATACAACCTTATGAGTCGTGTTCATATTAAATGCCTGTAATCGATCAATCAGACCCCTACGAACCAATACTTGAACATCAATGAGATGCCCACTAGCGACTGGTCCTATTGAGATAGTCAGTTACTTGGGGTTCTAGTGAGAATTCGTGACCAATAGGGTGCAGCAGGTTTAGTGGTAACAAAAATACTCACTGAAGACATTGACTAGCAGTCGCGCAATATCTTGATTTAGCAGATGCTGGAATTCATGCGCTTGCCATTGGAATTTACAGACTGCACAGCAGGACAGGGCAGCAGTAATAAATAACTGGCTGGACCTGCTTTTTGTGCACGCAGAGCACTGGTTATCTTTTTGGGAGAATTGCAATAGCCTCTTCTGTTTGCGGAACTCTGTAAGTGGATGCTATTGGCCATTTATTTGGTTTTCAATGGTTGGTTTGTAAGGACTAGATTTCTTTTTTTAGTTTGACCACTGATTGATATGAGTTAGAGAAACACTGGAACGTGAGAGTACTGGACAGCTCTTTCGTGACCAGTGAGGTCCATCCAGTTAGGTGTGAGGATAGATTTCCCGCCTATGACATTGGTTGGTGGGTCATTGGATCGGATCCCAGTGGCTGAATGGTGTATGAGCTTGCTTTGTAACCGGAAAATCCAAGGTTCGAAACCCAGTGGGTGCTTACTGCTCATGACTTCCAAACTAGGCTGATGAAATAGCTTCCCAGTTCTCCTTGTTTTTCAGTGATTCTCTAAGTGATATGAGTCTGTGGCCGAACCTGAAGAAACAAATTTATTTGGTACCCGGTAGATGATAGAGAATGATTCTCCAATGTCGACTTTGTGACCGGTTTGAACAAGGTGGTCTAATACTGAACTGTTGATGGTTTTCACTACATCGTCATTTAACCACACTGGCAGGTGTTCCCGAGTGAGGATAAAAAATCAAGTTCCTAGAACAACGGCTAATACAACTCACTCCACAAACGCAGTTGAATTGGTAGATACAGTAACAAGTGACTAATCTATGTACTTCATCTTTCAGTTAAGGAATCACAACCGGTTGTGTAGAATATATAACTTGTAGTACGCTAGCATTAAAAGTTATTTGAATAGATTTTCTTAACTTGTTAGTAATTATTTCACTAGGTGCGTCATCCTTAAATTGCGGTTGTATATATAAAGGCTTCTCATTTACAGATGGAGAATTATACATATTATCATGTACACATGTCATCGACTAACAATCTGTTTGCAAATAACTTTTGGAATTCTAATGTCAACAATTTGATGTCACCTTTAAAAAACACTAATGTTGTCAGCAACAGTCATTCTTTTCAACAGCTGGTTTGTAAGAATTAGATTTGTTTTTACGCATTGATCATGGATTGATATCTGTTAGAGAACCATTGAAAATCGTCAAGGAGTACTGGACAGCTGTTTCATAAGCCTAGTTTGCGAATCATCAGCAGTACGGACACACCGCCAGGATTCGAACCCAGGACCTTTCAGTTACAAAGCCAGAGATCTCGTATACCATTCAGTCACCGGGAACCGATTCAATGGCCAGTGCATGAATTCTAATTTCGAACAATTCGTGATTAAGCGTGACCACCGACCAATGTCATCGGTGGGACATCCATTCTCACACTTGACTGGATGGACCTCACTGGTCACGACTTCTCACTAGTACTCCAGGAAACTCCATCCTGTAGCTTGCCTTTTAGCCGGAGGGTCTTGGGTTTGAACCCTGTTGGTGGGTGCGTAGTGCCGGTGATTCTCAAAAACTAGGATAAAACAGCTGTACAGCACCCTCAGTTGGTTTTCACTGGTTCTCGAACTGATATCAACCGGTGTCAAACTCGTAAAAATATAATAATTCCTTTTGGTTAGAAAATTGATAGTTAGACTATTCAAGATAGTTTTGAAAACTATTCATCTCAATATCTTTTGCATTAACAGAAAACTTCCAGGGCAGTCCCATCTAACATGGTCTTACCATCGACTTTAGATCTTGTAAAGAACCATGAAAAATGTGTCATGGTTGAAGGCGAAATGACAATCTCTGTGTATAATGTAGGTATTCATGGCAGGAGCTTAATATGACAATCTATCAACTAAATTGTGGATGGCACCTGCTGAACATGCACCCATTTCATCATGAATACTGTTCAGCTAGTAGTTCAGCAGTTCATTGGCCGTTGGCACAAATTCTTCATCCAACCAGATCTATATTTCGCCTTCTACCAAGTTTAGATGACGTCACCATTGAAAACCAGTCGGTGCGTACTACCGACTATTCTTAAACTAGGATGAGACAGCTGTCCAGTACCCCCTGCTTGGTTTCAATGGTTCTCTAACTGATATCGATCCATGATCAACTCGTAAAAATCATTCATTTATGATTCTGGATATATATCTGTAGAATCCGATTGAAAACTTATCTAAAACAATATTCGTTGTTCAATAATCAACCGTTTTAATGTTGAACAGTTAATTCTCCTTGTTCAGCGTTCAAATTCAATGGCAAAATGGAATTCCCTCTACTATTGAGTTTTGTATAACTGTGTGTATTAACAGTAAATTGATAACACTGTACGACTGTATGTTATTTTAAATATAAAATATTCTGCCATTCAGATAAAGAATAGCAAATTTCGAGAGGAAACTCTCCCATAGCTTCCCTCTTTCCTCTCTCCCTCGTACATATGTCCAGAGAGAACAAAAGATACGAGAACACGCTAAGAAAATGTTGTAGTTAATTGACATAATCCATATTTGTGAAAGAGAATAAAACTTCACGAAATATTCGTATCTGAAAGCACGTTTATTCTTTATACAAGAAGGAAATATACTTATATGAAAGAATAACATTAATGAATATGGACAAAGCAAAAAGAGGACGTAATTTGTCTGAATCGTGTAATGTATTTGCGTGCAACACATTTTGAACAATCTGATAGCATACACAGACTTGTCATAGAAACAACATATCAGTTAGAGAACTAGTGAAAACAAGCAGGGAGTACTGGACAGCTGTTTCATCAGCCTGGCTTACGAAGTTAAAAGTTAAAAGAACATTGTGAAGGCCAAACTAACAATGAAGATCACTAAAACAAAGAAGGGAAGTAATAGTACATCTACCCTGGCTCGTATCAACACACAGTTTACTAAGGAAGGTTTAGTGTGATGACGAATTGTTGCTTTGAGCGCATAAAGGTGGTTTGCACTACCTAATTGCTAGCTAGGGCTTACACAAACTTTCGGATACGGCCTCCCCGAAACACATTTTATAGATAGGTTTAAAAGACGTGTAAACATTAATTTTACGTCGTGTCTCTACAATATGTTTCGCAGTCGCGTAGCTAGGTCGTCTGTTCACACCATTAATAGGTTCTGGTGATTCTGTTTGCTTTCTGAAGTCCTTACTTGAAGAGATCGATGAGTCCTCCCTATGTGCACATGTCAACACGTACATTTAAATTGGTAAATACAGTGGAATGTGACCTCATTATCCGCATTTTCTAAGGGATTAGATGAATATATCGGCTTCACAATTTAAATTATTCAGATCTTAGCTGCAAAAAACGTCTTTTTAACTGAATGTCTAAAACAAAACTTCATGAATGTGTTGAGAGTTGAGACAAAAGAAGCCCATAAAAATTGAACAACACCCTGAAATAAAACTCATTCACTAACCTACCTTTTCGAATTCATTGAAATGTTCAAATTTCCTCAAACTGTCTAAATACGTCAGTGCTGAATCATAGTTCAAGCAATAATTATGATAAATTTCTCCATCTCTTGAATGTTCGGACCACTATATCACCAATAACAAATCGAAGGAGATATAAATATAAAGTGGAAAAAAATGTTATATGCGCAAATAAGACGAAACATATTAGTAAATTTAGAAAATAACATACTTGATACTGAGAATGTTGTCTAAGAGGAGGCTTTTGTTGATGTAAGGAGTTATGATTGTAGAGATGAACTATAAGTCCAAGTCACGGTAGGATCTGAAGCATCCACCTAAGATTTACTCCTCTGGCTGTCTAGCAGCTGACCTACCAGTTCTATCTATCAACTATGAACTATTAATATACTTTAAGTACTGTAAGTGGTCCCGATGTTTGCTGTGGGGCAGTTTGAGATAATTTCAGCAAACTTTACAGTTACTGACTATAAGAATTTGTTTTAGATAATTAAGAATCGTATATGTAACAATACTGTATGAATTCTTGTCTTCTATCCCCGGTAATTACTTCGAAGGACTGGCATGGGGACATTGCATTTAGCATACTCTAAGGGAAGAAAAGACATTGCAATCAATATCTCTGTATTTTAATATACTTATTTATGAATTACACTGTTGGTCAGGGAAGTGTTATTAAAATCTTCGTTAATTATAGTGACATATTCCATCGTTGTACTGATGTAAGTCTTCCGGCGGCTGGTCGTTGTTTTATAGGTGTTCACCAGCAAGTTTCGTTAGAATGTGTGGAACTGTGGCTCATCTGTCTATGTTCTCGACTTCGTTGATGGTTCGAACCCCACTCCGCCAACAGAAGTCTCGTCAGCTTGATACTACCACATAGTACGTTTGGCTTATCTCCAGCTGCATGGGAATGCAAGTTACTGTTTACGAATTTTCACGTTAGATGTATTAAGAGCATTGTGAGTTCAAACCTTTTCCCCAAATATAAACCACTTGATTCCAATCGTAATTCTACAACTATACAAAGTCAAGTAATGTGAATAGACTGCTGAGTTGCTGTGATGTCACCGAGATGAAGTTTATTTTTTGTTTATTCTCATGATACCTATATGAGAACTTTCAGGGTTGGAATAAAAGTTTAGTTGAAGGTCTAGACTACTCTGGTCAGTATTCGAGTATAGCAACGATACAGCTTTTCTTTTTAAACACAACCATCACAGTATGCAGAGAAATGAGTCACTGATGATAGTGCCGTTGCCAGACATCTCATCAATAAGGTGAACATCACAAAATCCTTTGAAATTATTAGTTGACAACACAGTTCAATCCTCCCCATGTTTACCAAAGCAACTGCCATCAAAAACTCCCGAAACCCAATCCATGTGTTTTGAAAGAAGCGGTTATGAGTCTTGCCTTTCCTCTGGTAACTGAGTATCTTTATTCTCTTTTTAATTATTGGTTTCGTAGGGATTTTTTTGACTGGCTAGAGAATTTCATCATGGGCTGACATCGGTTAGAGAAACATTGGAAAACATGGGAGTACTAGACAACCAGCTACTTCGTCAGCCTAGTTTGAGACCCATCATCAGTTCGCGCCCACTACCAGGATCCGAACCCACGACCTTATGATCACAAAGTGAACTCGTAGACTAGTTAGGCACTGAGACGCAATCCAGTGTCCAGTCCATGAATTCTAACTTCTTCCAATTTATGACAGAGCTTGACAACTTCGCTATGTCCTTCATTTTATTACGCAATCTTTCGCTTTATCCTCTCTCCGCTTCGCTACAGTGTAACTATACTCGTCTCTTGTTTTTATGATTTGATTTGAACTGACCAGGTTGTTACTCAGTTTATTAGTCACTTATCGTCTCGTCTACCTCTCCTCCTTGTTACGTATTTCTTTTGCCATAGTATCCAAGTATTTATTTCTGTTCAAACTTTAATCCTCTGGATAGAAACTATATAAGTGTAATTTGTGAATACTGTGTACTAACTTTAAAGCGTCCTCTCAACTTAAATAGTGTGACATTTCCAAGTATGTTACAGCTAGCTGTTCTGTACATTAACTTAATAATTCCTTTAAGCTGTATGCATATGATGAAAAGTCAACGAAATAAATGACGATATCTTGCCTTCTTCGCATTATAAGCAGGCGTAGAAAAAGAATTTTGGTATGAGTGGGAAAATTATTGGATATGAGGTGTAATTGAATAGTCAGTTAGGAACTCTTCCTTACTGACTTCTGAGACGTCGGTTTTAATTATTTTAACGAGCAGGCTACATTTCCTATCATTAACCGGGATAAACGCAAGCTTATTTCAGTGTGTCTCTAGTTTTGACTTCTATTCAGTGACATTCTTATAAATTGTTCAAAAAATTGAACAACTGATCACTGAAGCAATATTGCTACTTGTTGTGTGGTAAGAGATGGTTGCTAGCCAAATTGGTTGACAGTAATTGAGGTCAAAGGTCAAGATGGACAGGCGGATACAGTTAACATATAGATGAACTGACACAGCCACAAGAGATGCAAGGTTAACTTTCTGTGAGAAACAACCAATCAACAGACTGTATTTTCTACTAACATTAACTTACAATAATGTACATCAAAATCTATAAATACGTGTTGATTTTCGGTAATAAACGTTCTGTTGCCTGGCCCTTGTCTTCTGTTGTAACAGTTGTACTATTTAATAACATTTTCGTGATAGCTTAGGAATACATTGTGTGGTTTGAAGGGTTTATACTACTTATCTAAAATAGCACTGAGTCAAATTAAAAACGACAGAATACAAATAAGCTTTCACATTCTGGCAGTAACGTTACTGCCGTATTTGATCTTGTGACATTTCCTACAATAAGAATCCACTATGGATTGTAAGAGTGAGGAATTGTGTAAAGACGTAGGTGTTAATCGCCACTACTACAGCTGGGAACACTGTCATTACCATTGGTGAACGAAAGTGTAAATCTGAACACCTAACTCGTTTGACTTGCAAGATCTTTAATTGGTTTTATATTCAAGTGTTGGTTTTTCAGGGATTTGACTTATTAGAGGTTCGGTCACCAGCTGACATTAGTTAGAGGACCATTGGAGAGCCATGAGGTCGTGGATAATTACTTCGTCCATATTTGGGACTCTTCAATAGTATAAATTCACTGGGATTCGTATCTAAACACGTGAAAGTTAATCTGATGCACACTAGAGACTAGCGCTATTCAGTAAGTTACCTAGAGTTCTAGTTAGAAGTCATGACCAGTAGGGTCAGCCAAGTTAGGAGAGACAACAGCTATTCGCCTTTGACACTGGCTGGCATCTGCGCCACATATCACGAAATGGTAGAAATCGGAATTTATGGGCCACTAAATCAGTTCTCAGTGGCTCGTTGGTCTACGAGCTCGTCTTGTATTCAGGAACTACTGGGTTCGAACTCCGGTGGGAGGGTGTTAATCGACGTCAGCTCATGATCAAACCAGTTTTCGTTAATAATAAAGTAGTGAATGTCATATTACTGAACATTATTCAACCTTGACGTTGACTCCTACACCTATATTTGGTATTTTTCTTTTATAGCTACTTAGCTACTTACAGGTATCTACGTCTACTCAGATACCTTTCAAGTGACCACTTCAATCATCAGAATGGTAATTAAAGTCATCCAATGGATAACACAGCAACCAGGATTGCACCGACATTAAAGGATGAATCCTACAGCTAGTAGCTATTGTCGATGTGGATAAATTAGTACTTTCTGTTTTAATAAAACCTGCCATCCCAGTCCTGAGAGTATGTCAGCACGTGTTAAATTTTAATTGTGTCACTGCAGTAATTTGAAGATTTGTGGAATAGTTTTGAAAATATTCATCTTTTGCTTGTAATCTTTATTCAAAAATTGTAATAGAATCACTGAAACAACTACGAGTCTTTCCGTCATTAAATCATCACCTACTCCTTATAAAAAAACTAAAGTGTTTGCGCTGAAAAACCGTAAATGTGTACAGCTCAAAATTTGATCATAATTTCTTTCGTTATTTCAAAAAAGTGGGCGCCCGGATTGATAGAAAATTTAATATTCTTGTAATAAAATCTATAAAAAATTTCCGAATACACCTCAGCAAAAGCTTACCCTTTTCAAAGGACGAAGAAGGACATCTGTACTGCCGAATTCATTTGTCAATGTCTCTTGACTTAAATTACCAATCAGTTCGCGACAAAACGTGTGACTAACCTGGAAATTAAATCAGAAAGGGGTAAAGAAAGAAAATTGACAGGATAATATATTTCAAATTTATTTTTTGGATCGAAAGAAACAATGTACTGCATAATTTACACGGTGGGAGGAAACCTAATTCGTAAAATAATGGATGAAATTTAGGTCAGAACTTCAGAAAATTATCTAAAAATTGTTTTGATACAATCTTTTTATTTTCATATCGTATTCCTTTACGTTTCCAGCTGAAGCTTTGCATTTTCGGTAGCACTGGTGTTTACTTTTACGAGATGGGGTTGCTTGCCTGGTTTAGCGAGGTAAGGGAATGCTTCAACCGGGGATTGAACCCCGAACCACATGCGTGGTTGACCAGTGTCCTACCACTAAACCACCGACGCAATAATATTGTTTTTATACAAGCATTATTTCAAGTTTTAACAGGTGTCTATTTATTAGTACAGTAGAGACTAAGATCGGAAGATTTCGTGCTGTGTGAAGCAATGAAGCATAAAGCATTTTCTATGCACAATACACCAGTCTCACTCAATACAGATCATTGAATTTTAGACGTAAATCAACAATTAAATGCGTATCTGTAAAATTGTCCAAGTCATATCACGAACTGACATCAGTTAGAAGAGACGCAGGAGTGCTGGACAGCTCTTTCATCTCACGTTAAACATCTGTAACACTCCTATGGATCTAATCTAGAACCTTCAGTGAGCTAGTGAGGTGGGATCGTTGAACATTCATCCACTGAGATAAAATCCAGTACCACGATCATTCTAATTCCTACCAGTTCGCATAAGACTATATACTACTAATAGATTGACATGGCTAGTTGTCTACCAATCAGATCAACCAGTAGTGTAACAACAGAAGACAAGGGCCAGGCAACAGAACGTTTATTACCGAAAATCAACACGTATTTATAGATTTTGATGTACATTATTGTAAGTTAATGTTAGTAGAAAATACAGTCTGTTGATTGGTTGTTTCTCACAGAAAGTTAACCTTGCATCTCTTGTGGCTGTGTCAGTTCATCTATATGTTAACTGTATCCGCCTGTCCATCTTGACCTTTGACCTCAATTACTGTCAACCAATTTGGCTAGCAACCATCTCTCACCACCACAGTAGTGCCAAATCAACCCAACCCAGCCAGGTCAGAGTGACCTAATCGGTGTACGATTGTTTCGACCGTTAGGTGCCGAGTTCATCCTTAGGGTTTGCAGTTTGATTCAGCCCAGAGAACTAAATGGATTCAAACCAACCAACTACCTGACTACCTACTTGGGTGAACTAATGACATCATAAATCAAAATCATAATAATTTGGAAATTACGAACTAATTTGTTACCAGTTTTCATTTGTTGTTTAAATGATGTCACCTCGTAGGCTAACAGATGAAAAGAGGTCTGTGAGTTCAGTCAAAAATGAAAAAGCTGCCTACTTTCGACTAACTATGTACAATTTTACCAATAATTCATAAAAAAGCTAAGAAGAATGGACACTACTAATAGTTATCATAGGGTAATTTTTACATGTCCACTAGAGGACAGATGAAATATTTCGCCTCGAAATATTCAAAAAACAAAATAATTGAGCAAAGAATATCCTTTTCGATAATTTCCTCTTCTGGCTCTACAATTATGTATGTGTTTATATACATAGAATATTTTAGAATAGTAGTCAATAACAACATTAGTGTTTTTAAATAATATCGAATTGCAAAGTAAGATCACAATGGAATTATTATTACTATTATTATTTCCTTTGATTCCTAGAGGAACATAGGGCTTCAGCCGTGCGTCTCCATTACGTTCGGTTCTCTGCTAGAGTCTTCACCTGGCTCCAAGTCTGCCCACACGCTTTCATCTCCTCTTCACATGAACTCCAAATCACCCTTGGACGACCAACTCGCCGCTTCCCATTCGGGTTCCACTCAAGGGCTTGTCTAGTAACATCACTTGATGGTTTCCTCAGAGTATGGCCAATCCATCTCCATTTCTTAATGCCTATTTGTTTCACAATCGGTTCCTGGTTGGTTCGTTCCCAGAGATCTCTGTTGCTGATCTTTTCTGGCCGGCCATCTGCTCTTAAGTATGGAGCGAAGACAGCTGTTAATGAAGGTCTGTAGTTTGTTTGAGATGCTCTTTATGACGCGCAGTGCAAGTCTCTGATCCGTATAGTAGCACTCACTTCACATTGGAGTTGAAAATCCGGATCTTATTTTTCGTGCTGAGTGCTGTTGACCTCCACACAGACTTGAGAGTAATGAAGGTTTGTCTTGCTTTCCCGATCCTTGCTGCTTTGATATCCTCGTCAGTTTCGCCTGTAGTTGAATTGATGCTCCTCAGATAGGTAGGTAGGTAGGTTTCTCACATTCCTGCTGATTGTTGTCTGTTGTTGTTGTAGTCCAGGAATCTTCATCACCTCTGTTTTCGTTTTGTCCACGTGAAGTCATGTCTTCTATAGATGCTTCTTCTGCCAAATTGTTGCTTTTCACTTGCATATCTTCCAGTTTGTGGGAAATCAGAGATGTATCGTTGGCGAAGTCTAGATCCTCCAAGTTTTTTGTGTGAGTCCATTTTATGCCTGTTTCCTCTCTGTCCGCCGCTGTTTGTCACATTATCCAGTCCATCGCGATCAAGCAAATCATTAGCAATAGTAGGCAGCTTTATCTTACTCCCGTCTTCACTTCGAAGGATTCAGTGAGTTTCCCGTTGTGGATTACTTGGCATGCAGCATTGTCGTACAACTGTTGGATGAAATGTCTAATAGTCGGTGGCACCCTGTAGTAGCGAAGTAGTTGCTAAATCACCTCTCTATCGACGCTGTCGAATGCCTTTTCAAAGTCGATGAATTTGAGATAGAAAGGTGACTGCCATTCCAAGCTTTGTTCAATGGTGATCCGTAATGTGGCGATCTGATCAATACATGACTTGTTTCTCCTGAATCCAGCCTGTTCCAGTCGAATTGTGTTGCGAGGTCTCCTTTGCCTGCAGCTTGTTCTGCTTCTTTTGCCATGGCTTCATAAAATTTTCTTTTGTCTTCCCTAGCACTCTTTTTTACTCTTTTTGTTTGTCCTGTCTCTTCTTTCTGCCTAGGACTTCCATGCAGGTTTGACTCCTCACCGCTTTGAGGTTGTTCCAGTGCTTCTCAACGTTGACGTCTTCACTAGTAATAATAATTTGCTAGTGTTTATTCGTGTCTCGGCTTTTTCCCTTATGCTTGCAGTGAAGATGTCCTTTGTACCCTGGTGACCTACTATCTTTTCAGAGGGGATCTAGACATTCTCTCTTATCAGAGCCCGATGTAATAACAGTCAACACCTGAAAATTTCATCTTTGTATTCATTAGAAGTAATTGCAGCTACTTTGTTCACCTTGGCATACAATAAAGTTAACTCTGTAATATGCGTTTTTGGATCACCGGTAGAATGCCTGCAAGTCACGCTGTTGACCCATGGCTCGATTTCCAGCCGACGAACTTCTTATCCTCACCAAATCATTTATAAACCCAGTAAGTAGGGAAGGCTGGGAGTGAAGCTAGCAACTATACTCCATAAAAAATAACACTAACGCCAGCGAAAGTGGACGTCTCCTTCATCTTCGTATCCACAAACATAAGCTAGCCGTCAAAAGACATGACATCCACTCCCTCATATCACTACATACAGACAACCACGGAGATCAATTCGACTGGGACAACGTTCAAATGTTAGACAGAGAAAACAACAAAAATACTAGAGAATTTTTCGAAGCTTGGCATTCCAGTGAATCATCAATTAATAGACACATCGAGATAGACAAAATTTATCAACCGATAAGAAACAAACCTCACACACAAAGGGTCAAAGTTCAAATTAAAGAAACAATCATTTCCAATACAAGTAGCCTAGAAGGTGTGATAACACACAGAAACAACCAATCACGCCCAAAGTCACCGGGAGAGATGATTAACAAATTCGTGGAGAAATCTAAAAGCTCACTTCAAATTGAAGTATGCGCTGAAGATGTCACCTAGTAGGGTGATGAAAGCTTCGCAAATTAACTATCTAGCTCAGAGAACACGACCACATCAATACTTCAGAGCTCACCCTTGAAACCCTATGTTCTAGTTGGAACGTAAGCGAATGAATGAAGATATGAATCCTCTACAAAGATTGATGATTAACTACTTAAATCTCTGTCTCATTCTTCGCCTTTTTCATCTTGTTTTATAGACTAACTTTTGTTGAAGGCGGGTACAGATTGTTTCTTTGTAGTATTTATGACTGATTATTGCTCACCCCTTGAAACATATACTCCGGTTGATTAGAGATTCACAAACATGTCACTGGACTGTTTAATTCCTTCTTATATCTTGTTTTAATTGACAGTATTTCTTAAATGAGTACTATTCTACTCTCTGCTGATACCACAAAACTATTTATGAAATAACTTTGATTCGCTTTTACTGATCATTGCATGCTAACATTATTAATATTATTATTCCCTTGGGTTCCTAGTGGAACATAGGGCTTCAACTACACGTCTCCACTTGTTTCTGTCTTCTGCTGTACTTTTCACTTGCGTCAATGTTAGTTCATACTGTTTCAGTTCCTCTTCACACAATGTCCTCCATGTCACCCTTGCACTGACGTCCCACTCGCCGCTTCCCTTTCAGCTTCCACTCGAGCGATGGCCTGACGCGCGATGTCACCCAGCGACCTCCTCAGCGAGTGTCCAATCCATCTCCACTTTCTCCTGCATATTTGTTGAGCGATTGGTTCTTGTTTTGTTTGTTCCCATAGTTTCTTGTTGGTGATTCTTTCCGGCCATCTGATCTTCAGTGTAGAGCCAGCGAAGACAGCTGTTGATAAAGGTCTGCAACAGGCTGTTGGAAATATTCTTTGTGAACCGCCAAGTTTCTGACTGACTTGATGTTTATATTGAAAATCCGAATTTTGTTATTGGTGCTGAGGAGTGACGAAGATTTCCAGATTGGTTTCAGGTTGATGGTGTTAACACTAATGAATGTATAACTCGATAGCTTGTTATTGGACGCTAATGTAAATCAGTGTTTCTTCACAACAGCCTCCATTTCTTTCCTAATGTAGCACAATTTACTACAAGTATAGTAAGTGGTCACTACACTACGAAATTCACAGTAAGCCGCCACACTTTTAAGTCATACAATAGCTGTGTTAGGACACTTTCTGGTTACGCGCCTGGTGGCTTCGGCATTTGATTCCTAGCTGACGCACTCATTGAACCTCTTTTAAGCGATAGTGACCATGGTAAAGAGGAAGAGTTGGGTGTAAGGCTATCACCTCCACACAGTTAAAAGACAATATCACAGTTATTGAAACTTTAAAGCTCATTGTTGAAAACGTATGTTCCACTCAAAACTGAAGAAAGTGACAAAAAATGTCTTGTTGAGCAGTTTAAGTTGTTTACGAGTGATTCTGTTAATTCGAATTATGGGAGAAATCCTACTCAAAACACTAATAATAGCAAAATTAGGGATTAGGCCAATTTTAGAATATGTAAACAGTGTGAGATGGACGTGTCAGCTGAGTTATTTAAGCAGTAGTGTTGTTACTGAATTTGAGTTATGCTAATCAATTCAGACGTGGATTCTTTCTTGTTTTGTTTTTTTGTATGACTGTATGGAAGTTTTGTCAATTTTGTTCCGCTCTTCTCTCTATCCTTACTAGCGATAACTGCGAATAAATAGATTTTTAATAGGTTCGTGCTGTAATAACGCAGTTACATACTTTAAATCGTCAAGCAGATTGTGATCATCTAAATTCTTTAGACTCCGCGGGAAACTATGTTTAATTTTAAATTTATAGGTAGATTGGGAATTAGATAATGACGAACAGTCTTGGAGTTATATGCAGTATTCGTTGGAACTGATCAGCGAAATGTAACTGCTAGTTTGAGAAAATTTGTGTTTGAAACAGTGGACAAGATTTATAGCTGAGGTAGTTTTTACTCATACAGTTCTGTTCTCTCAATGTGGTGGTTTAATAGACAACGTTTCATTGTCCTCCAGGAAAACCTTTTCAATTCTCTGTGAATGATATAACAGCATATACTAATTCCTCTTTATGAGTTCGAAATTTAGCGTCAATGGCATAGCGGTTAGAACGCTCGCCGACCATGCAGATAGTCCGGGGTTCGATCCCCGGCCGACGCACTCCTTTACCTCGCTAAGCCAGAAATAATGCTGGTGTAGATGAAAGGTTGGGTATGAGGCTAGCAACCCCATCCTGTAAAATAAACGCTGCTACAGAAACTTCGGACCACAAGCCTGAAGCCCTATGTTCCACTGGGGAACGTGAGGGAAAAAGATGAGTTTGAAAGAAGCGGAAAAAACGGTTTGTGTAGGATAAAACGGTGACATCGCTTATTTCATCAGTTTGTAGTCAGTTGCGTACAGACTGGTAACTAAATGTCTTTCTTCTCTTTTTTATTTGATTTTACGCTCTTCAGGCTTAAATTCCCCACCACCTTTGCTACAGTGTAATTTTCCTTGGTCTTTGTTTCTATTATTTGAGCTGAACGTACCATACCGGTACTCAATTTATTAGTCACTCATCTATCTGTCGTCTTTATTGCTCAACTCCTTTGCTGCTGTATTCAAGCATTGATTTTTTGCTTAAATTTGAACCTTCTGTGTATATGCTATATAAGTGTATTTTCTGAGCACTGTTTACTAGGTTTGTGGTCTCCCGTCAACCGAAATCATGTCACAATTGCGAGTTTGTGGAAATTGTTCTGCACGTAAATCTAATTAGTTTCTTTAGTGTGTACGCAGATGATGAGAAGCCGACGAAATAAACCATTTTGTTTTGCATAAACCGTTGTTTTAGGTTTGCTTAAATTCAAAAAGTCAGTTAATTATATGACAAAATTAAGACAAATCAAAGGACATTCCTGAGGACAAACAGTAACAATCGAGGCTATGGTCTGTGAGGAATTCCAAGTTATCCACTTGGCATTGAAGTCACTGCTGAAGGTGATGGACAATAATAGCTTCTTAAGTGAATCTGTCAGCTGAAGAGAAACAACCACCGCAAAGACACATGCTTCTTTTGTTGATTTTCAAACTTTTTTACTCAATGAATCAAACTACGACATGATCAATATGGAGAAATAGTTTTGTGGCAATTTGAATTAATGGGCCATTGGTTAGGGTCCTATTGACTGAATAGAGTATGAGTTTACCTTGTGGACGAGAGATACCGAGTTCGAACATCGATTGTTGCTTACTGCCGAAAAGTCCCATACTAGAATAAAACAGCTGTCCAGTACTCTTTGGTTTTCCAGTGATTCTTTAACTGATTTCAGCTGGTGATCGAACTTGTATTCAGTTGATTCCCTGAAAACTAGCACTTGAGAATTGAATTTGAAATAACAAGACTTATCGGGACTATGATGAGGCTCAATGTATTGAAAATTGACTTTTCACCGCAACTAGGGTGAGTAATTCAAAGTTTGCTAACTTAAGCACAAATGTACTGCTTCTAATGACTGAATAGGTTCACAATACAATACACTGAAAACTGTTTTAGTCTTTTAATTCGCTATTAGCGAATTCGTTTTCACTTGCGTTAAAAATTCTCCCAAACCAGTTGGCTTGAATTCTGGTGATTTGAAATGATTTGGCTGTCTGAGATGAGTTAAACAAGTTACACAATGGTCCGGTGTTGAGATCATTTTGGCCTGGATAGTATGTACTACTGATTGACGTAACAGGTTTCCAACTTTCCATATCACTCAGTAGTAGAGACGATTGAAGCCAGTTTAATTAAAATACAACGCATGAGATTTAGAGATATTGCCTCTGAAGTGCCATAACGAAATTCGTGTTTAGAATAATAAAATACTTTGAAAAAATCCGTCAGTAAAACTTTTTATTAAGTGTTCGTTTGCAGGAATCTGATTGTTTACAGGTTTGTTTATGAAGTGAAATCCCTTAGAGAATCTTTGGAAAATCAAGGAGTTGTAGTGTACATTGAACCTTCATACTTTTGTTTGAACGGACTCACCTGACCTTTAGCACCACTTCCTCTTTCGATTCGTGAATCTCTTGTACGGTTTTGGTTTCGCTCTCTCGTTGTGCTTTCATCCGGCACACTCTCCGAGCTTACCACCGTCTCGATTGCAGATAAGTCATAACCTCTTATTTTTATCAAATCTCATATCGCTTTTGTGTAAATATAACTCTGTACCAGTAACGCTAGTCATGTCAAGTCTTTTTACCTTGATTCAGTTCGTTAGTATTTGCACACTAGACAGAGTATGACTAAGGTCATAAAGCGGTGAAGACGTTTTTGTAAGAGTGATTAATTTAGGTCTAAGTTAAACCAAGTTTAACTCTTACAAGTGGTGAGCCCGATGTGATACGAACACGCAGCCTTCTGACCAGTAGTGTACATTGAACCTTCAGAGCACTAGACAGCTGCACCCTACTAGTTTGGGATTCTTCAGGAGTTCGAACCCGTTGGAATTCGGACCCTGGTAACTGCGCTATATATTGCAAATTTTCAGAATTAAGAATTCACGGGCCATTCAGTGGAGTCCTAGTGGCTGCATGGTGTACATGCGTCACCTTGTTACCGGGAGATTCTGGGATCGAACGCCAATCGGCGAGTACTGCTGAAGATTACCAAACCATGCTGAAACAGTTACCCAGCACTTCTAAATAGTTTTCCAGTTGTTCTCTAAATAACGTCTGCTCGTCATCAAACCTGTAATTAACATTTTTTGTTATCTGACTGTCACACGCATAGATTCATTACGACAGAGACAAAAGCAATAAAATAACTTGTAAGCAACAGTTCCGTAGAGAGAGAGAGAAAAATTGACTTACATAACACAGATCATCCAAATTTCCGAACAAATGCATTGGTTCAACAAACATTAAATATCCATCGACTTGAAGCTTTTTCAATGGTTCCATAAAACACTAAAAATGCATAAATATTTACAATATTTAAAACTGATTGTTTGTATACTAGTGTATGATTCAGATATTTAAAAGACAAGAAAAGTAAGCACGGAACATTGCTTTACGATAAATTACTCATCAGGTTCTAAACTTATGTATACATGATATTTAAATAGTTATTGTTATTCACAAAAGTAATAGCATATCCTGTCTGCCAATAAACATATCTATTGACACTAAGCACTGGAATGCTTTCAGTCGCGGACCTTGTAGACTGTTTCTTAATTAGAAAAGTAACGTATACAACTTTGAGCACCAAGGGGCAAAATCTTTGCACATTGATTTACAATCTTAAACAGCTTCTCTGTAAAATAAACAATCTTCTGAATAAAAAAACATGAAAATTGTGCTCTACACATTTTTCGTGTATTAGGCATAATTAACTCAATAGCTTGTATATTTATATATATCCATATAAAAGACCAAATCCCTAAAGATTCTCTATCTAATTGTGTCTACGAAATAAAATGCTTGCTTGGAATGTGATACGATGTACATCGGAAAAACATCGCCAGAGAGAAATCAAAATCAGAAGAAATGAGCACCGTAGAGCTGCATCTGCTCGACCACCGAGAAATCCAGCTGAGCTAGAAAAGTTTGAAAAATCCTCAGCCACAGATCTGGCTACACGCTATAAAATGAGGTAACAAAATTGATTTTGACAATATTGAATTCATCATCCAGAAAAAGCATTTCAGAAATCACAAAGAACATTTTATGTCAATCAAAAGCACTTCATATCAAGTGGAATCCAAATTGTCTGAATAGGAATGATGGACTAAAGCAGAATTTGACCTGATTACAACACCCTCCTCCCTCCCCCATGAAGTGACAAAATCAACATGAATGTGATAAGGAATTTCATTAGGTAAACACACAGTGTTTTTATAATTCTACACACGTATCAAATCGAACAATCTACACCTGTTTTGTTATCGTTATCAGTTGGCCAACTTGACAACGCAAAAATGACACCATGCTGAGGAACGAAGTTCTAATTTGTAATATATAAGCTGAGTGGATTTTGTAAATTCTGGTTTAACAATACTTTGATAAAGCTATTAGCAGCAGTATTAAATAGCGAAACGTCAGTAAAAACAGCAATATCGTTTTGTTTTACATTAGTTCATTGGGAAATGCAAAAAACCTTTATTATAGTGATTATCATATACCCAATGCCCAAATTTTTTCAAACTGTTCGAAGTGAATTTGGTTTGGACATATATACACTACTGACTGACTATTATGAGCAGTCGGGAACCACCAACTTCATTCCGTAGTGCTTGCTTGCCGAATGGTTGTTTCAAACAACTCTGGTGTTACCAGTTCTCTCTCGACTATCTAGTCTGAACTGATTGAGTTGCCTGAGCTCAAGTCAAATGTGGTAAACCACCGATTATCTTAGCCTAAGGTCCTCTGGTAATTGGATCACCGGTTGGTTGAAGTGAATGACTTGAAACCACTTATATCAACTAGTGATATGTAGCATGATACAATTATTTATGCTTACTTTCTTGGCTGCTACTTAAGAAATTAAGCAGATTATATAATGGGGTTTGAATGTTTTAGGGTTCCAAAAAAGATACTATGGTGAATTTACACCTCCAATTAAATTTATTCAAAGTTGAATAGAATAAGCAGCAGAAATCAACATTTAAAAAACAGAATCAGTGAGCATTGGAAACGAAATCTAGCTGAACCAATAAAATGATGTTAATGCGGCAGTAGAATTAAGAGTAATCTTTGCCGCACTAATCTGTTCTAATTTTTCATGTTCCCTTTGGGCTCCAAGCAGTCCTCTTCAGCATGCCCTACGATTGTCCATAGTCTCATCTCTCCTCCTTGCATGATCTCCTCGTCTTTCCCAGTTAAGGGTCTGAGACACGATGTCATTCGACGGCCCTCTTATCCTGTGCTTGATCCACCTATATTTACCGGTTCTGTGTTGATTTCTTTGCATTGTTTCTTGTTGATCTTCAATATGGAGTGAAGGCAGCTGTTGATAAAAGTCTCTTGCTTTTCATGAGGTACTGGTCAAGTCTCTGATCCATACAGAAGAACTGACTGACCCAACATTGGTGTTGAAAATCCGAATCTTGTCCATTCTGCTGAGTGTACGTCGATTCCAGAGTGATGCTGTGTCTCGGCTTGCCGATTCTTGTTACGACATCCTCCTTCGTTGTGCCTGTAGTTGAAACGATGATGCCTAGATAAGTGAAGGCAGTGACTTCTTTCAAATTTATTCCGGTGATAGTGATTGGCGTTTGTTGTTGGTGGTTATAGGGTGTTTTCATTTTTTCTATGCTCGCTTTTTCCTCAACCTCCTGATTTTTCCCGAGGATTTCCGAGTTTTTCTGACAGATTCCAATCATTCGCCAATTCGAAATCTCCTGGAGTCTTTTTCTCAGTCCCACGTATGCCCGTCTTCTCACTCCCCTTGGTGCGTCAGATGTTCGAATGTCTTCCAAAATCAGGAATATTATCGGTGAAATCTAGCATAGTGTACTAGGCTAGTTTTAAGCCCGGAAAAAATTAGAAGGCTAGACGTGGGTCTAGTGTCTCTTCTATACAGGAAAATTAACCCAACAATTACAGAAACTTCAAAGTAGATAAAAAAACGTACGCTTAATATCAGTCTTTAATTACAAAGCAAAATGTTTACAAAGAGCAAACCATGCATAGTTTGTAATTATTCAAAACATTTATTTTTATAATAAAAAAGAGGAATGACTACATACTTACATTTTTAAGCACCATAAGATGGTCAATAAAAAATGTCAGTTCACTTTTGAACAATTCCCAAACTGCTTCTCTTCGTCGAACTTCACGATCTGGCATATGATCTTCAGTGCTTCCACTTTTGTCTAATTGAGACCAATGAAAATCCTGAAATTAAAAGTAAATTAAACAACAATAATAATGCAAGATTTATTTATAAATTTGATGAATCATTCGAATTTAATTTCAGTGTGAATGCGTATTTGTTTCCTTTTATCAAAACAAGCAAGGTATACCACAATATGCAAATTTCTCTCTCTATCTCGAAGTACGAGTGTGCGTCTATAGTTCCATGGTAGACTACTCATTAAGCACGCACGTGCTTTCGGGTTTCGATTCCTGAGCGATGCACCACTCCTTGAACTCCATTAGTGGGTAGTAAGCTGAGTAAAAGGAAAGGTTGGGCGTGAGGTTAGAAATACAATCAAATTAAAAAGAATAGAACTACTGCCACTTGTAACATTGAAACTCAAGCTTGAATTCGTTATGTTCCACTGAGAAAACAAATGGTTTAACATACAAGTTGAATTTGTTCGTGAGCACTAGTGATATGTTTGTTGAATGTATGCTATTTTTGTTTTTCGCTGTTATAGAAAAAGGACATTTCTATCGATACTGACAAATTAATCTACTTTCAGACCATGATATCATTAGGCTGTCACTGTATATACATTTCACAAGAAATTGATGAGATTTTAAAATATTTATGGCATAACTTCTATGGGGTGATTAACATTAAATTATATTAAATTTTGAAGACAGCAATAAAAAGAGTATTAGCTTTCTTCCGTCTGTGTGTTTAATAATTCGAAATAGTGAGTCAGTTTCTAGGTCATGAAATCATTTTGTAAAGTTGTTTGAGAATATAATCGGGTACGCAGTATGAAAGAAAGACACTTAGATATCTAAGTAAGAGTCAGAGTATTGTTTCAGCCTCAGAAAAAGTGTTTGTCCACCTGCCGAATTTCAAGACTTAACGATTTCCGTGTACACTACATTGAAAGCTGAGGTGGGACAGGAGGTGAAAGGAATCAGAGAAGCACTAGAAAAAATGTATCTCCCTATTTTGAGACTTATTAGCAGTGAGCTACCCAGATTTTATTTGGGATCAGATCTGGGAACTGCAGGATATCACGTAGGTCCCTTGACTATTCGTCTATTTATTAGTGTAAATATCCCCATGTCATGAAATGGCAGTCTGTCTGAACGAAGAATATCCATTTCAATTAATTCTCCTGTCTAGATTCTTGCATTTAGAAAATATTATAGAAATCGTTACAATAATGACCAGCCAGCTATACAGCAGATAAACTTTCACGTAGAGTAACAACAGACTGGCTGTACTGGGTGACAAAATAACTAATATTGGAAAAGTATTGGGTCTAATTTTGGCAGATTTCTTTCTTGTTAAGCTTGAAAATGGTCCATTGAAACAAGTAATAGATAAAACTGATTCTTATTTTCTTTATGTTGATGATACGTTTATTATTCTTGATGTGAAAGCTGACAAGAATGAAATGTTAATAAAATTTAATGATGCACATCCATCGCTCATCTTCACTTGTGAAGAAGAATATGATGGTAGACTACACTTCCTTGATGTCCAGTTGAGCAGAAGAGAGGATGGTTCATTCAAGAGATATTTCTATAGAAAACCTAAATCTATGGGACAATAACACATTTCCTCAGTTTTATACCAATCCGATACAAAATCTCTTTGGTCAGATGCCTCATGAATAGACTAAGAGGTATCTGTACAGATGATTCCCTAGAAAATGAGTTACGATACATCCAGTATACGCTATTCCAAATGGGTTATCCTAGTAGATTTGTAAGGAGGCACAGGAATGCCAGATACAATAAAGAGGAACTGACAACAGTTAAAAAAAAAACTCTTCATGAAATTGCAATTTAATGGGGACGTGGCTAGTGAAGTTTTACATCTAAGATTATCAAGAGCAATAAAACGGGCTTATACTGCCGCCACCCTTTGTTTGTCATTTTCCAGCCGACCAGATATGATCGCTCAAGCGAAAGACAAGCTACCTAGCTAGCTGTGCCACTTCTATGTGTATCTATAAATTTAGTTGCTCCTGTGGAGACAGCTAAATACGGCGAACATCTAGACAGCTCAACAAACACATTAATGAGCATCTTCCTTCATGGTTCAGAAAAGGTCGAATAAAATCAATAAGAAGTTGTATTTTGGCTCACTTGATCGATAGCGGTCACCCAGCAGACAAAAATAGTGCCTTCAAAGTTATCTACCGCATTCCATCGAACGGAATTCAAACCCACCCTTTACACATAGCCAAAGCTATGGGAATTCGATAGAAAAATCCTAGTCTTTGCATTCAAAAGATTCTACCTTTGTCTCTCCCTTAGCTTAAGTTAATTCTAATTGAAACCCCCCCACTCTTTCTTATTTTTCAATTCCTTTGAATTTTCATCATGTTTAATTGAACTATGAATGTCTGTCCACTTCACCTTTAGTGTTACGTAACTTTTAAGATTTGGCGATATTGATATATTGAATTGTCTACATATACACATATTACCACCATCGTTATTCTTATCGCCACCCGCATAAACCGTATTATTATTATTTTGTTATCATTATAATCATCGTTATTAATGGCGTTTAAGGAATTTACCACAGTATTATTACAATTTGATCCACAAACCCACCGTCATTGGTTAAAATTTTTATATAGGAAGCTGTGTAAATTAGAGTAAATCCTAAAGACGTTCTAATTAAAAACAACAGTATTGTTCGCTTATATGTCTTGTTCTAATATTGGTGTGACAAACGTGGTGAACTGAATTCAGCTTTAAAATATTGTGAAATATGAGACAGTGATGGTGATTAGTAATCATAATAGATTCGTGTAATGCCGCGAAGGAAAACTGATAAGTAAGTCAAAGAATGTGCAAGGTGTTAGGTGTGAAGCTAGTAAGACTGAGGAAAATAATTCATTATGAAATACCAGACATGTGAAATGAAGCAACTGGAGGCTTATATTCAGAAAAGAGGCAATATTACTAATATAAATGGAAAATTCGATAGTTTTATTTCCACAGTTGGTTTGCAAGGATTAGTTGTGCTTTTATGAGTTGATCACGGATTGATATCAGTAAGAGAACCAGTGAAAACCGCCAAGGAGTACTTGGCAGCTGTTTCATCCTAGTTTGGGAATCATCGGTAGTACTCACCCACTGTTTTTCAATGGTTCTCCCTCTCTAAATTGTTAAGGTTATCTAAACTTAGTAGAAGGCGAAATATAGATCTAGTTGGATGAAGTATTTGAACCAACGGCCAACGAACTACTGAGCTACTAGCTGAACAGTACTCATGATGAAATGGGTGCATGTTGAGCAGCTGCAATCCACAATTTAGTTGATAGATTGTCACATTGAGCTCCTGCCGTGAATACCGACATTACACACAGAGATTGTCATTTCGCCGTTAACCATGACTGATTTTTTCACGGTTCTTTACAGGATCTAAAGTCGACGATAAGACCATCTTAGATGGGACTGCCCTGGAAGGTTACTGTTAATACAAAGGATATTGAGATGAATAGTTTTCAAAACTATCTCGAGTAGTCTAACTACCAGTTAATAAGCAAAAAGAATTACTATATTTTTAAGGGTTTGACCACGGATTGATATCAGTAAGAGAACCAGTGAAAACCGCCAAGGAGTACTGGGCAGCTGTTTCATCCTAGTTTGAGAATCATCAGCACTAAGCACCCACTGGGGTTTGAATCCAGGACCTTCCAGTTACAAGGCAATCTCCTATACTTTGGATGTCCCACCGATGACATTGGTCGGTGGTCACGCTTAAGCACGAATTGATGGAAGTTAGAATTCATGCACTGGCCATTGCATCGGTTTCCAGTGACTGCATGGTATTTGAGATCTCTGGCTTTGTAACTGGAAGGTCCTGGGTTCGAACCCCAGGAGTTGCGTACTTTTGATGATTCCCAGACTAGGATGAAACAGCAGCTGTCCAGTATTCCCTGGTTTTCAGTGGTTCTCAAACTGATATCAATAAGTGATCAACTCGTAAATATCGACAGTATCGAAAAATAATGCTAGAATGAAGGGCGCAAGTTTCATTATTTATTATTAAATAATAACCATTGTAAATAAGGAAAACGAAACATAAGGTATTCTTGAAGGGGAGGGAAGAAAAGTTTGATCGAAGTTTAGTCATGGTTGGAACAAAACCGGTTTAGACGACCTTATTGAAACAGCTTTAGCTATGTGTAGAAGAAGTAGGTGAACTGTGAATGTACTGTATAACCCTGAAGTCCATGCTAGCATCTACGCAATGTCCTGTATCCATCAAGTGTGATAGAACTGGACGTTTAGTGCTCTTGTTTTTTCCTTTTACCGAACCAAGCTGGTGAATATTCTGGAATGTGTTGGCAAAACTGCCTAGTTGTGCGCCCTGTATAAATAGCACTAATGCATCAATTGAGACGTTATATGCATCAGATGGAACAAAGACTAGATAAAGTGACCTTCGATTTCATCTACCAAAGGATAGAAAGTCTTCTTTATCACTCTGTTTAGACGTTGGGATAGTGTCTTTGTAGGTGTATCTCGCTTAAATAGTAGACGCGAAAGTAACAGCCCTTTCCTCACCACTGTCTGTTAGTGTTTAAAACTGTGATAACCAATGCTGGCTTTCATAAACTCCCCTGGATATCCGTTTTCTTCCTAGAATATCCCGGATAACCAGGAGTTCTTTCTTTACTAAAGCTTTGCAACAAATCGACCTTGCTCTGAATGCTGAGCATCTAGTCGAATTAAGTTTGTATTTGATAGATGTGAAGCTGGGAAAATTTTTATTTTCAAGTTTTAATCTCTAGCTTTCTAAGTATGATTCACTGAATTGATGTATCTTGTTTTCTCGTTAGTGAGGCGTCTTAGTTTGTATCAGCCACTCAACGGATACTATTCACAACCTTGAAGTAACTTGTCAATTTACCTTTCAAACACATGGCATAAATCTATTATGATTACTAATTCCCACCACCGTCCCACACTTCACAATATTTTATAACTTAGTTCAGTTCAACAAGTTTGCCACATAAATA